AGAAACTAGAGGAAAACCAGGAATCAAGAGCTAAGGAGATCGAAGCATCGTGGGAGGCCGTCTTGACAGAAAAGACAAATAACTGGGCGGCAAAGGAGAAGACTTTAGAAGAGAAAGTGGAAAACCAGGATCGATTGATCAAAGAACTCAAAGCAAGCTATGAAGTCTCTCAGCGCCTGGGTGAGGGTGAGAATCAGGGTGATGATAGTGAGGGTTCGCGGAGTGGCGCTACTGCAGCTGAGCTCGAGCTCGTTTCTGCCGATTTAGAGAAAACAAGCTTGAGATTGGCTGACGTGGAAGCACGCAATGAACAAATGCGGTTGGAGCTGGCTCAGGCTGCATCACATGCGTCTGGTCCAATATCTGTTGAGGATGACCCCGATTATCTACGGCTCCAGTCAGAGAACTCTTCCTTGCTTCGGAAACTGGATGCTGCACGATTTGACAAAGACTCGGAACGACACACCTGGGAAGCTAAACTGCTTCAATCGGAGCGAGCGGCTTCAAAAGCAGCAGTGGAAAGGGAAGAGTTGCGTGTACGGTTAGCAAAGGTAGCCGACTACGATGAGATCCGCCGGGAGCTGGAGATGATCAGGTCGATTGAGTTTGCAGCTGGTGACGACGATGAAGCGGGAGACGGTGCTGGAGCCGGTGCTGCAGTTGACGCCAATGGTGAGGGGTCCAAATCCAAAGACAAGAACTCCCTGGAGCAACTCCTTATGGCCCGGAACAAGAAATTGACAGATGATCTCACTCTCCTGCGAGTCTCGCACCGCGATATCCAAGGGCAGCTCGAAACACTGCGAAATGAGCTTTCGACTTCGAAGGGAGAGCTGGAAAAGTCACGAACACTATCAACTACTCTTGAAAATGACCTCCTTCGCGTGCAAGAGGAGGCTGCAAATGCATTCCCATCCTCGGCGATGTCTGTTGCAGGAACCTACAGCTCAAGATACCCCCACTCCGCCCGTCGAGGCGCATCATCGCCCACCTCGTCCATCATCTCTGGCTTTGACCAGAGTGCCATGTCGGCAAACACCATGGAATCTATCCGTGCAGGAGAAGCCGTCGGCGGCGGCTCTGGCCTCCTACCTATGATCCAGGCCCAACGAGACCGCTTCAAGAAGAAGAATGCCGAACTCGAAGAAGAGCTGTCAAAGCTATATGCCACTGTCAAGTCCCTCCGACAGGAAGTTGCATCGCTCCAAAAGGACAACCTGAGTCTTTACGAAAAGACTCGCTATGTCTCGACCTACAGTCGCGGTCAGGGTGCCTCCACGTCTGCGTCATCATTTGCAAACACCCCCAGCTCAACTTCCGTCTATACCTCTGCAGATACGCCTTCGGGTCTGTCCCTCGACCGATACCAGGACGCCTACGAGGCTCGAATCTCACCGTTCGCCGTGTTCCGGGGCCGTGAATCAACGCGCGCATACAAACGCATGAGCCTACCAGAGCGGATTGTCTTCTCTCTCACTCGAGTCATTCTTGCCAACCGGACGAGTCGGAACCTGTTCGCTGGTTACTGCTTTGCACTCCATCTTCTGCTTTTCACTGTGCTCTACATGATGAGCACGACGGAAATTGAGAAGCATAGCGCTATGGGCGCCGTCGGTAGCGCTGCTGCTGCTGCATACGGTAGTAGCAGTGGGGCCGGAAGGGGCACGGGGAGTGGTGGCGGTCAGCTGAACGGTGATGACTGGCAGCAGGAAGGTTTCAACTGATGTTCCAAAGTTTTGTCTGATGTTTACACAGCGAAGAGCTCCGGAGTTCTTTTTTTATTTTTATTTTTTCATTTTTTTCTTCATGACTGATCATAACTCCTGGCGTTCTGGGTTAAGTGTTGCTCCACGTTGTACTATTCTGGGCTGTGGGTCGAGCTGCATCGTGTAAATTTGATTTCTGGCAAATATCATGTGTCTGTGACCAATATAGTGAGATGACCGTAGATTTTGGACCTCTCCGAGGTTGGATGTCATGTAAACGTGTCCAAAGTAGACCCAAGCCCTAAGTTTATATCCCCTTTCAACGCCATGAAGGGGGCTTGTTTGGCCCTACTTGGCCTCTTGGATAGGATGTGACTTTCTAAGCCTCTGCCTATCTATGTGGTATTTCTCCTTATAAACTCGGAAGTGTTGTCACGTTTTCTTTACATGCAGTCAAATAAACTGCCAACACAACACCTAGCTGACTGACAGTCAATCCGTTGAATTGATTGGTCAATTGGAAAGAATATATGAATACACATCTATAGAGAGCAACGCCGCCAGTAAGAATATGCAGAAAGACAAAAAGGATAAGAGGGTCAGAGAGATGCTGACTCGGACTTTGCTCCTGATGTGGTGCGTTAGTGTCGGTCGGAGAACTATAGCAGATATATATATCTCGCCAGTGGCTTGCCCAAGTCAAATAAACACGGACGAAAATGCCGACAGTCGATAAAAACAGATGTCAGCAGTCACATGAATAGATGCGAGCTACAATAATAACCAAGCAGGTCAGAGTAACTTTGTGTAAGATGGCGTTATCTAGGCGCTGGTGCGCTGGTGCGCTGCAACCTCGAAGGGGAAAAATAAGACGGAGGAACGGAGGGAAAGCCAAACCCCGCCATGTCCTCCACAATCCACCTAGGCAACATTTGTAGATACATTGTAAATAAGTTGCATAGTTAGGACTATGACATGGTTGAAATCATGAAGAAGGACTATTTGATAAGTGCCGGGACCCATGTCGCCAATGCCTGCAACAATTTCCCCGAGTTCTGCACAAATCGTAGGATTAGGACCTGGGATCGTTGCACTCCGCACACTAACCTGCACCGGCAATTATTTTGCATATCTAACCGCCCAACACACATGGCACTGTTCTTCAGTCAGACTTATTAATAGCACCGGGGAATTTATAGATCACCACATTGGCTCGGTCCAAGCTGCTTCAACCGAACCGCCAAGGGAAACCCCGTTGTTTTGCTTAGCGCGTTGCTATCATGATTTTAGTCAAATTTGTTTGCAGCTGACGACAAATCAGAAGGCAAAGAGACTGGGAGGGTCAGCCCTGGGCGCGTCGATCTACCAATGAGAGCCCGTGGTCGAGCTTTAATCCCTGCTAGTACCTGCAGGTTGCATCGATCGCTCTGTTAATAGCACAGCATTGTTTCGAGTCGGACCTGTGTTACTATCTTTGATATATGCTTGAATTGAAGGATAGTTGTAATTACCACAGCATTTATATGTATACCTGCCCCTCGGCCCGGCCAATTTATCGTGTCAATCCCTCCCTTGTCATTCCTTCTTCAACACTTTCACCTCCCTCTCTTCTTCATACCCGACCTGCATCAAAGGCTTGCTGGACAATCCTTGATAATCAGAGAACGTCATAGCCGTTGACCAATTGCCACTCTATTTCTCTGCCTCTGTATACACATATAGTAGCAATGCGTTTTGCTCCTCTCATCATCTGCCTGGCAGCAATAGCGCTTGCTGCCCCAACAAACTTCCTTGACGACGCATACGACTGGACCGATGAACTGGCAGAATTCTATGGAAAAGTCAGCCAGTACATCAACACTGCAAGACACAACATCCGAGCACCGGGGGCTTGCGAAGCTTCTAAGATTGCTCTGCCCTCCTATGCCTCGGGAATGACCAGCCCGTCAGGTCTAAAGCCGAGATACGTTGCACTTGGACGGGGCACCCAGGTATGACAAGCTATTCAGATACATATGTACTTTGTTGAGTTGCATCGCTCATTATAAAACTAGAACTATACATGTGCGGACTCTACTTCTAAATCCACACCTGCGGCGGTAGGAGCTGTCGCAAGACTCTACAATGCCACATGCATTGCAGCCAACTACCCTGATCTCCTGGCAAAACTCCCCAACTTTGCCTACAAGATTCCTCTACCAACCAACGAATACGCCTCGTTCCCTCCAGCCAACCTCGTATTGATGGGTCACCACTTCTTCTCCGATGCAATCCCCGAGTTCAACCTGAACACCACACCCAAAAAGCAGAACGGAATTGTCATGACTAAGAAGGAAGGTGCAATCAACGCGCCCCCAGGTGCAGTGTCAGGGCAGTACGGTGCTGTGCCTTGGCTCTACCTCACTTCTACCGATGGCACGGTGGGCAACTACAAGAGTGTCTATCGAGTCGACACTGCCGCTGGGTCACCACCAAAGACCTGTGAGGGTATGCCACCTGCATTCCAAATGCAATATGCTGCAAACTACTACTTCTTTGGGGAATAGTCCATTGCTTTTGCTATGTTTGTATATACAGAAGGGAAACTTTGGCCGGAGGATATGACTTTTTCTATTTGCAGGGCGGGCTCTGTCTTACTTTGTTTATTACTATTATTTGATTCCATGACCAATCATGAACTGGTATGACCGAGGAATCGATTGTTATTCTTCATTCTCATCGATCGTAGTGTTCCGTCTCATCCACTGTAAGGCTTATTCGATAGGAGCACACCATTTCCCAGTTTTCAGAAGAAAACTTGTCTTTTGGTTGATAACATTACTTTACTCACAGCTTGATATACCATTACTAAAGAATCAACGATCACTTTTGTCTGTTTCAATCACACTATTCCATCTCAAACAATGCAGGGCTAAACAGGTCACGTGCCATATACGCAGAGGAAGAGCTCCACGTGACGTGCTCACACGGAGGATACGCTAAACTAAAAACAACCTAGCGCCGTTCTGATTTTCTGAAAGATCCCAAAGGCGCAAAAAAAATCTCGACCGCATCAACGAGCAGCATCGGTATCGATCCGCATCCGACAGATAGTTAGCGGCCAATTCTGTTTGAATTGCCTGATCCCACTATCTCAGATACGTTGCCAATTTTTTTCTCCATCTTATCGACCCTCACGGAACTTTTATTCCAATTTTCAACTACACTCGGTTTTAAGCACTCGGAAACGACAGCTTAACCTCCCTCCCCTTTAACTCCCTTTACAACCGAGTTTTATTTCTCAAAACATATACAATGTCTTTCGCTCCTCGTGGACGTGGTGGATTTGGTGGTGACCGCGGTGGCCGCGGTGGTGGTCGAGGTTTGTTCAGTCCAGTCCATTCGAAGCAGCAAGCACGAAGGCCCAAAGTCTCGCCGGTGATTCTATCGCACCGATGGCCATGATCCTATTTCTTGCTGTGATATTACAGTTCACCTCGCTGACTCGTTGAAGGTGGTTTCGGCGACCGTGGCGGCCGTGGTGGTGGCCGCGGAGGCCGTGGAGGCTTTGGTGACCGTGGCGGCCGTGGAGGTGGTCGTGGTGCTCCTCGTGGAGGCCGTGGAGGCCGTGGAGCTCCTCGTGGCCGTGGTGCTCCCCGTGGTGGCGGCGGTGCTCGTGGTGGTGCCAAGGTTGTCATTGTAAGTGCTGGAGATTATCATGGACATGGGTATCAGTCACTGACGGAGTCTTTTTTTCTTGCAAACAGGAGCCTCACCGTCACGCCGGTATCTTCGTCGCTCGTGGCGGCAAGGAGGACATGCTTGTGACGAAAAACCTTACGCCTGGAACTGCTGTCTACGGCGAGAAGCGCATCTCTGTTGAGGGTCCCGCAACTGAGGATGGTACTGTCACCAAGAACGAGTACCGTGTCTGGAACCCCTTCCGTTCTAAGGTAAATACGCTTTTCCTTGGACATGGCTGCCGATTTCATTGAAGTTTTCTCTGAATTCTTCAATATCGGCTCGATAGCCATTACTGCCTATTGCTTAGTTCTTTCTTTCTAACGTCTTTCTCCCTTTTCTAGTTGGCCGCTGGTGTGTTGGGTGGTCTTGATGACATCTACATGAAGCCCGGCTCCAAGGTTCTCTACATTGGTGGTGCCTCCGGTACCTCCGTTTCTCACGTCGCTGATATTGTCGGACCCACTGGTAACGTCTACGCTGTCGAATTCTCTCACCGCTCTGGCCGTGATCTGATCGGCATGGCCACTCACCGTACCAACGTCATCCCCATCGTTGAGGATGCTCGTCACCCTCTCCGTTACCGTATGCTCGTGCCCATGGTTGATGTCATCTTTGCCGATGTTGCCCAGCCCGATCAGGCCCGTATTGTCGGATTGAACGCCCACATGTTCCTCAAGGCCGAGGGTGGTGTCATTGTCTCCATCAAGGCCAACTGTATTGACAGCACAGCCAAGCCCGAGGTTGTGTTCGCTAAGGAGGTCCAGAAGATGCGTGAGGAGAAGATTAAGCCCAAGGAGCAGCTGACCCTCGAGCCTTTCGAGCGTGACCACTGCATCGTCGCTGGTATCTACAAGCGTACCGCATAAAGGTCTTAATCTCTAGTCTCTGGTCATGTCCATTCCCTTTTGATGTTCCCCTCGGCGTCTCGTGTTCTGTGATGTATCGAATGTTTTCCACCTTTCTTGTGACAGGTATTTCCGCCTATGTACTTTTGGCTGCGTCTTAAAATTTAGTTTTCCTTTTCGATGAATTTTACACGCTGGAATGTGTCATACTGAGTGCCCTGATCTGAGTGATGAGGTAGCTCTGGTTAGCTTATGATATCCATACCTAGATAGCAACCAGTGGCCAATACAAGCGATCTTAGTCTTGCTAACGTTTTGCCGGCAACATTTGAGCAATCTCTTTAGATGTAGCTTCCAATCTTTAGATGTAGCTTCCAATCTTTAGATGTAGCTTCCAATCTTTAGATGTAGCTTGCAATCTTCGAGGTCCTAAGCTTCTCGTGCAAGTGTCGTCTATCGACTGATATAGACCATATATGACAGAACCTTAGAACACCCCCAACAAATAAACAACATTTTGCTAATTATTACTATCATCTAAGCGTCAAAAAGTTCGTTCACATGTTTCGCTAGGTCATCTCGCTGTACCAGTCCCATTCTCGGACTTGCGCCGGGCCTCCCGGTAATCGGATTTCCCACCGAGGCTTGCACTAAGAAAATCACTCGGAATTGATGCGTGAGACCTGGACTAAGCGATCTTCGTGGGATATGATAATACCATTGGCTAACCGGGGAATTATCATGACTGAACGAGCGTGGGGGAGAGAAACAAGTTCCGCTTCAACCCCGCAAGGTGTGCTACTATATAATGGTAACACATCCGTTTTCCGTTCTACATCGTTGAAGTACTCATATTTCATAGTACCGCCTCTTGTCAATAACTAGACCGACCTGATCGATTGACCTAATTACCCAAACTACGTTGTCCTAGACCCATCATGTCGATTCTCATCACCGGTGCGGGGGGTTATGTTGGCCAGGAACTGGCGGCGTCCCTCCTCAAAAGTACACCAGCCACGACAACCGTGACAATCACCGATATCGTTGAGCCCGAGATCCCAGAGTCAGCTGCAGAGCACTCAAGCCGCCTCAGCTGTGTTAAGGCAGACCTCACCTCCACTAAAGACGTCGACGAACTGATCAGCGCATCCAAGCCCTACGAGACAGTCTACATCCTCCACGGTATCATGTCCGGTGGCTCCGAGGCCAACTTTGAGCTGGGAATCCGCGTCAACCTCGACGCAACACGATATATCCTGGACCGGCTACGCGCGACCATGCCCGGAGCGAAGGTGGTTTTCACATCGTCACTGGCAGTCTATGGCCCTGCACCACCAGGATTCGTCATCGACGAGGCAAACTTCCCACCCGTGCCATCTTCCTCATATGGATCGCAGAAACTCATTATTGAGACACTGCTGAACGACTACTCGCGGCGCGGATTCCTGGATGGCCGGTGCGTGCGTCTGCCCACGGTGACAGTGAGAGCTGGCAAGCCCACCCAGGCTGCCAGTAGCTTCGCTAGTGATATAATCCGCGAGCCCTTCCACGGTAAGAAGGCTATTTTGCCTGTGGCCAGGGAAACGGAGATGTGGATTTGCTCGCCGCACACGGTTATCAAGAACTTGATTCATGCGCGTGACGTGCCCAAAGAGGCATTTGGAGACTCAAGATCTGTTAATCTCCCTGGGTTGAAGGTCAGTATTCAGCAGATGTTGGATGCTTTGCTGGAAGTTGGTGGTAAGGAGCGGCGGGCTCTCGTGGAGGAGAAATATGATGCTGCTACCGACAAGATTGTGCAATCATGGACTCCTCGATTTGATACTGCTCGTGCTTTCAAGCTGGGTTTTGCAGCGGATATTTCGATGGAGGAGAACATTAGACAGTTTGCAAGCCGGTTTGTATGAGACGGAGGGCATGTAGCCAATCAATAGGCACGAAATTGGATGACCGAAATTGAATGATCGGAAAACAAGGCGTATTGGGATGCCTCAACATCAAGCAAATCGTATTTTGAAATGACAAAGATCGATAAATACAACATATAGGCCTATTTAAACAGTATTCTAGCCCATATCACGAATTAAGGCAAAGTAAGGAAGTATTCGGGATGTCAAGGGCGGTTTGGAAAAGCGGGTTATGTAATTGGCTGAGCTGGGCGAACAATTTCAGACTTCGGAACCTCAACCTCAGGGTGTCTCCATCAGCTCTTTTCTCCATCTCTCCCCCTTCCCCCCTCCCTCCACCCATACAAGTCGTTCTCAATGGCTTCTCGGCGCCTTGCTTTCAACCTAAACCAGGCTCTCCGCACTCGTGCGGCCCTGAAGTCCATCCAGCCCGTGAAGCGTGGCTTTGCGTCGCCGGTTGTGTTGCCGTCCACCACTCAGTCCACCACCCTCTCCAACGGATTCACGGTATGACCAAGCAAGTCATCTCAATGACATCGCAATTTAGCTAATTCTCTTCTAGATCGCCACTGATCACTCGCCATGGGCCCAAACCTCGACGGTCGGCGTGTGGATCGATGCCGGTAGCCGGGCAGAGACTGACAAGACCAACGGAACTGCACACTTCCTTGAGCACCTTGCCTTCAAGGTTCGACGATACAAAACCCAAACTACGAAGCGCTTTTATCTAATTAATATGACTAGGGCACCAACAAGCGCTCCCAGCACCAATTGGAGCTTGAGATCGAGAACATGGGCGCTCACCTCAACGCCTACACTTCGGTACGACCCGGGAACCCACCCATCAACGTCTACCAAACCAAATACTGATCGCGACTACAGAGGGAAAACACTGTCTACTACGCCAAGGCCTTTAACAACGATGTCCCTAAGGCCGTCGACATCCTCGCCGATATCCTTCAGAACTCCAAGCTCGAGGCTGGTGCCATTGAGCGTGAGCGTGATGTGATCCTGCGCGAGCAGGAGGAGGTTGACAAGCAGCTCGAGGAGGTTGTCTTCGACCACCTTCACGCCACCGCTTACCAGACCCAGCCGCTTGGACGCACCATCCTCGGCCCCAAGGAGAACATCCAGACCATCACCCGGGACAACCTGACCGACTACATCAAGACCAACTACACTGCTGACCGCATGGTCTTGGTCGGTGCTGGTGGCATTCCTCACGAGCAGCTCGTGAGACTCGCCGAGGAGCACTTCGGTGGCCTCCCTAGCAAGCCCCCTACCTCCGCTGCCCTGGCCCTCACTGCCGAGCAGAAGCGCACCCCCGAGTTCATCGGCTCCGAGGTCCGTCTCCGCGACGACACCATCCCCTCCGCTCACATCGCTCTCGCCGTCGAGGGTGTTAGCTGGAAGGACGATGACTACTTCACCGCTCTGGTCACCCAGGCCATCGTCGGTAACTGGGACCGTGCCATGGGCCAGTCTCCCTTCCTCGGAAGCAAGCTCAGCTCCCACGTCAGCCACCACAATCTCGCTAACAGCTTCATGAGCTTCTCCACCAGCTACAGCGACACTGGGTAAGTCTTGTTGTTGATCATCCATGTCTTTGATCGAAAACACGCTGACTTGATATTAGTCTCTGGGGTATCTACCTTGTCAGCGAGAACCTTACTCAGCTCGATGACCTGATCCACTTCACTCTCCGCGAGTGGTCTCGCCTGTGCAACAGCGTCACCTCCGCGGAGGTCGAGCGTGCCAAGGCCCAGCTTAAAGCTTCCATCCTCCTGTCTCTTGATGGCACCACCGCCGTCGCTGAGGACATCGGTCGCCAGATCATTACCACTGGCCGCCGCCTGAGCGCCGAGGATATTGAGCGTACTGTCAACCAGATCACCGAGAAGGACGTCATGGACTTCGCTACCCGCAAGCTGTGGGATCAGGACCTCGCCATGAGCGCTGTGGGCAGCATCGAGGGTGTCCTCGACTACCAGCGCATCCGTGGAGACATGTCCCGCATGATCTCTTAAGTTGTTCTAGAGTATGATCGCGTGTGAAGATAGCTGCTGAATGGTCCAGGTAAACTGGTTTTTTTTGGCGGCTTTGATTTGAATGTACTATCAATCATTGCCTTGGGCTGTTAGATCCCAAATTCGTGTGTGAAATAGCAATTAATGGTTTGCCATAGTAGACTATATAGTTTGCTGTCTTGGCAGCAAACATACCAATTATCCCCTTTGTTTGTTCTATCTCTTCTAGTGAACTACGAAGTCGTTCTTCTCCCAGCGTATTGTCATCGTATTGTCGTCGCCGTCGCCATTGTACCTGCCTCTATCATTTAGTTAGCTTTATCCTCGTCGGCTACATCAAACCTAACTCCTGTTTCCTCCATTTCTCACAGCTCTCCAAATTCGTCGTTCACCCTTCGCTTTCTCAACCCCTAAGTAGCATCTATCTAGGTACTTTACTTTGACGATTGGCATCCCTGCTGACGCCGGTTCAATTCGTAAACACTTGTATCTGGCCTCAATATCTTCATTTGGTGATCTTTTTCTCACCCCTGCTCTTCCGTACTGTTTTTCTTATAACTGACATTGCTGTTTTAGCAACTGAGCTTCTCTCATCATGGCGCAATTCTCTACCCTGCCAGCTGAGTTGCGCGAGCTGGTTTGGGAGTGTGCGCTTCCAGCGCGAGTCGTTGAGATTGGAGAACCGTGCGACCCAGATATCTTACCAGAGGAAGACCTCAAACAAGCATGGGTCCTTAACAGGAAGTATCCAGCGATTGCTCATGTCTGCTGGGAATCCCGTCGAATTGCTTTGGCCAAATTCAAGCTCCCTAAAGGTGTTACTCTTGCGCCGGATTGCATGACAGACGCTCGATGGTGGTGGAAGTCTACCGACATTATTCACTTCAACGCTCCTGAAATTATCGCAGCTACACAAAGACGCAGACTGGAGGATGACCTGCTCGACTTGATAAAAGTTCCTATTCTGTGCAAAAAGGTCTCTGTTAGTGCGGACGTCGTCCACCCGTTTTTGCGTTTCCGTAATAGGTCCGATATCCCACAGTCGTTGGTATGGGAAGTCCTTTCCTCAATGGAGACATGTATTATCTCCCTACACACCGTCTGTATCCGAGCCACCAAAGAGCAAGCCCGGGAACTGGGCCTCTTTGGCAACGGTGACGAGCCAGCACAGTTGATCAACCCATTTGACAAGGTAGCTATCAGGCGATTCAGACAGCTCTGGATGGACACCAAAAAAGAGGTATCTTCAGTCAAGTTCTTCGACACGATCGACACCAACAGATTCACTTTTCGAGTGGAAAGGTGGCTTGCGGAGATGTCAGCGGAGTACATCGATTTCAAATGGACCAGTCCACCGTTCCCGACCCCAGGACCGCAGGTTATAACCGCATCACTTCGTCGATACCCAGCTCAAAGACACAACCCGGACACCAAACAATATCTCGCTGGGTTTCCCACTCTGGATCTGAGGATCATGTTTCGACTCTGCCCACCTGCGGCGGTCGATCATGTGATTACGTAACCATCCCGCATTTGATCGGGAGATTTTTTGAAGGCAATTTTGTTCGAAGTACACTTTCCTGTAACTCTTACCACATAATAACAATGGGAAAACGTGGCGGCAAAAAGGTAACTTCATCTTTCATACGTGCTATATGAGGTGTTTGTTGTTCTGATCGTGTCTCCTTTCTTGCAGGGTGGTAAAGGCCGCGGCGGTGGCGGCGGTGCAGGCCGTACGCGCTCTCAATGGCAAGATATCACTAGAGAGAACGAGAAGTTCGAGCGTTACTACAATGAACCTGAGTTCCTTCCGGAAGAGGAAAAGGAGGTCTTCTGGGCTACCATGCGCAAGGATCTTCCCAACAGCTTCCGTTTCACCGGTTCTCGAGGGTAAGTCAAAACTGGGCCTTTTTTTGCGATTCGCGCCTCGGGAGGTTTCAATTGATATTAACTGTCGTGTGACTTTTATTAGACATGCGCTGGCTGTTCAGCAGCGTCTTAAGGACCACCACATTCCCGAGATCACTTCTATCAAATACGAGGACGAATTCGTCGAGCCCCCGCGCCCGGTCTCGTGGTACCCGGATCAGCTCGCCTGGTCTATGACAACTCCTAAGAATGTCATCCGTCGATTTGCGCCTTTTGCCTCGTTCCAGAAGTTCCTTGTTGCCGAGACCGACGTCGGAAACATCAGCCGCCAGGAGGTTGTCAGCATGATTCCTCCTCTGCTTATCGACGCTAGGCCTGGAATGACTGTGTTGGATATGTGCGCTGCGCCGGGCAGCAAGTCTGCGCAGCTGATGGAGCTGCTTCATGCAGGCGAGGAGGATGCCATTGCGCAAGTCACTGAACAGATCAAGAACGGCACTGCTGGACCTGAACCCCTCGGCCCCGAAGGACTGAACGACGACGGCCGAAGCACCGGCCTGTTGATTGCCAACGATAGCGACTACAAGCGCGCTCACATGCTTATTCACCAGATGAAGCGCCTGAGCTCGCCCAACCTGATCGTTACCAACCACGACGCCACAATGTTCCCTTCCATCAAGCTGCCTCCTCTTCCCACTGCGGACGGCAGCAAGCCCAAGAACAGATACTTGAAGTTCGACCGCATCCTGGCAGACGTTCCTTGCTCTGGCGATGGTACCGCACGCAAGAACGTCGGTGTCTGGAAAGACTGGACCCCTGGCAATGCTTTGGGACTTCACAGCACGCAGTCTCGGATCCTGGTTCGCGCTCTGCAAATGCTGAAGGTCGGCGGACGGGTTGTGTACTCAACCTGCAGTCTGAACCCTGTGGAGAACGAGGCTGTCGTTGCCTCTGCAATTGAACGCTGCGGTGGCGCTGCCAACGTTAAGATCATCGATTGTAGCCAGGAGCTACCCGGCCTAAAGAGATCAACTGGTCTGCACAACTGGAAAGTGATGGACCGAGAGGGCCGCATGTGGAACAACTGGCAGGAGGTTGAGGAGCACCGAGACCAGCAGGGCATCAATGGTCTTGCCAGACTTGCAGAGGGCATGTTTGCCCCGACAGGCGAGGCTGCCAACCTGCCGCTTGACCGATGCATGCGTGTCTACCCTCACCAGCAAGACACTGGTGGTTTCTTTATCACCGTCCTTGAGAAGACCTCCGAAATCAAGGCCAAGCCGGAGAGCGGCAACGTTATCCCCAAGGCTTCCGTTGCAGCTCTCGCCGCAGAGCTTGATTCTAAGAAGAACGAGACTGATGGAAAGCCTCTGGAGAAGCTCGAGTCGCTTGATGAATTGGTTACTCCCGACCAAGAGGCCCAGGAAGAACTCGCAAAGAATGCTTCTGTTGCCGAGGCCGCCCATCAACTTCCGTACTCTGCTACTCTTGATCCGACTCCTGTCTCTCCCGCGAAGCGGGATGCAGACGACCTCGAAGAGGAACTTCCTGCTAAGAGGACTAAGCTCGACGATGGTAGAGAGGTCCTTGTCGGTGACCGACCCGTCCACCCCCCAGCCCCTGCAGTGGGAACTGGCATTGAAACGCCTGGTGACAGCACACCTGTCCCCTCCGCGGCTACTGCACAGCCTTTCAAGAAGAGGGGTCCCCGTCAAGAGGAGCCGTTCAAGTACCTTGATCCCAATCACGAGGAACTTGTTCCCATCTATGAATTCTACAAATTGTCGGATCGATTCCCCCGTGACCGCTTCATGGTTCGCAATGCCGAAGGTCTCCCCACCCGCACAGTTTACTACACCAGTGCCTTGGGACGGGACATTCTCACCTGCAATGAAGGCCAGGGCATAAAATTCGTCCACTGCGGTGTGAAGATGTTTGTTAAGCAGGATGCGCAGCGCGAGAACGTCTGCAGATGGCGTGTTCAGACCGATGGCCTGAAAATCGTCGAGCCTTGGCTGGGTCCTGAACGGTCCGTCGTCCTGACTAAGAGGGAGACTCTGCGTCGTCTGCTGGTGGAGATGTTCCCCAAGGTCTCTGACGATGGCTGGAAGTCTCTGGGCGAGATTGGCGAGCAAGTGAAGGATATCCCTATGGGGTGCAGTATTCTTCGCATTGAAGCGAATGGCGGAGAAGATGGTCTTCCGTGAGTTTTTCCCCCTTCACATTCATTCGAATAATATTTACATCTTACTAACATAATCTACAGTGAGGCCATGGTCCTGCCATTGTGGCGATCTATCCATTCTTTGAACCTTATGCTTCCCAAGGAGGAGCGCCGCGCCATGTTGCTGCGTATTTTCAATGACTCCACCCCTCTGATCAACACCACACAGAAGCAGGGTGTCGAGACCGAAGTGACCGCTGAGGCTGAGGACGTCGCACTGAAGGAAGAGAATGCCGCCGTTGGACAGGAAGCGCAGGACGACGTGGATGATCGTGAGACATACACCAAGGATGGCGATGAGGAGGATCGCTTCAACACCACCGTGTAAATGGGTCTGTTTTTACATGCTTCTAATATGGGGATCTCTGCTGTATCAAAAAGCCAATATCATGAATTCTGTACCTTGTTTATTTCCGCTCCTGGTAATTTCCCGAGTGAACTGCATCGGAGAAACGTCGGTAGTTGATATTACAACATAGATCGTCAGGCCCCCACAACTTCCCCGCAGGAAAATTGCTTATTTTTGATTCGCAAGTTATGGGTTAAATGGGTTAATATTGCTTGGTTTGGCGTTTTGGTAAAGAGGTAGTATCTCTTGTATAGACTCTACATACTCCGTATAGCTCGATAGATCGGACTCGCGTAGAATGAGAAGCTATACAAAGAAAAAAAAGAACATCAACTTTTCGACAAATCTCCTGGCATCTGATATGTGGAAAAAATAAGCCCCCGCAAAAGGCAATCTGACGATCTTCGGTCCGGTTACCATCTGAGGAGGGGACAGTAAGGGCTTGCGGCCGTGATCGGCTTTTGGACATTGGAATCTATCACATTGCCTCTAATAGTAGACAACAGGTTGCCCATTGAAGATTCCACAGTCAAGACAGCATGTATGGGAATAATCTTTTAATTTTGTTTATTCGGAACATCTCTCACCTCTTCCATAACCCCTAAAATACTTAGTATGGCCGCAAATGCGTGCCGTACACCTCCGCATATGCAACACGGAGCATCCGGGACACCCCTCAATTTGTCTCGGAGAATGACGAAAGGCCTGGCTTAAAAAAGGGGGTCATTGCTTGCAGTAGTACATCAATTGCATGGCTTGGGAAACCAGTCACTGCTACAGTAGTATAGCAATTGCATGTTGGCTTTGATTCGTGCCAATGATGTCCCGAGTCTCCGTACTATATGAATGGCCCAACCCCTAAATTGCAATAAAATTGGACTTGAATCCCAGTGCTTCTTCTTTCCTTTGTCCCTAATACGCCACTTCATCCCTGTGTGAACTGCTGTGACAGCTATGAAGCTCTCGTCCTCTTGGGCCATTGCCTGCCTGGCGGCCCAGGCCGCTTGTGCTGCCATTAGCCATTCGGTGAATGGCTTTACTATCACCGAGCACCCGGATCCTGTTAAACGGGATTTGCTCCAGAAATATGTATGTTTTTATTTGTTCTTGGATTTGGATGGTTAACCGTTGACAAGCATATTGTCATATTGTATAGGTCACTTGGGATGACAAGTCTCTTTTCGTCAATGGCGAGAGAATCATGCTCTTTAGTGGTGAAATCCACCCATATCGGTAAGTTAGAGGTATCAGTCAGCCTTTTTTAAGAGAGAATTATGCTAATCAAGATCCCTGCAGTCTGCCTGTTCCATCTTTGTGGATTGATGTGCTCCAAAAGGTCAAGGCTCTAGGATTCAACTGCGTTTCTTTCTATATCGATTGGGCTCTGTTGGAAGGTAAGCCGGGTGAGTATACTGCCGAGGGAATCTTCGCTCTGGAGCCATTCTTCGACGCCGCTAAAGAGGCTGGCATCTATCTTCTGGCGCGGCCCGGTCCCTACATCAATGCTGAAGCATCGGGCGGTGGTTTCCCGGGATGGCTTCAGCGCGTGAATGGAACTCTGCGAAGTAGTGCTGAAGACTACCTGAAGGCAACGGACAAGTACGTGACCCTGCTAAATGCAAATGCAAGATTGGAAGCACTGTGAATACTGACATCGTTAATTATGTAGCTATATGGCCAACGTCGTCGCAACCATGGCCAAGGGTCAAATCACCAATGGAGGACCTATCATTCTTTTCCAACCCGAGAACGAGTACAGCGGCGCGTGCTGTGGATACGAAGATTTTCCAGACGGCGCTTATATGCAATACGTGGAGGACCAGGCTCACAAAGCTGGAATCGTCGTGCCTATTATTAGCAACGATGCCTATGCTGGCGGCCACAATGCTCCTGGAACTGGCGAAGGGGCTGTGGATATCTACGGGCATGACAATTACCCTCTTGGATTTGACTGCGCGAATCCTTCGACCTGGCCAGAGGGTAAACTGCCCACTGATTTCTACACCACACACATGAAACAGAGTCCTTCTACTCCATACTCTCTGATTGAGGTAAGATATGTGGATACCCCCCGTGTGTTATCAATCATCTAACTGGAGCATAGTTCCAAGGCGGTGCCTTCGATCCCTGGGGAGGCGTTGGGTTCACGAAGTGTGCTGCCCTCCTGAACCATGAGTTCGAGAGAGTGTTCTATAAGAACAATCTTAGCTTCCGAGTTGCGATCCTCAATCTATATATGGTACGTTCTGGATCTCCTGTCATGCTCACCAGTTCTAATCTTTCATCATTGATAGATCTTTGGTGGTACCAATTGGGGCAACTTGGGCCACCCCGGTGGATACACATCCTATGATTATGGTTCCCCGATTACTGAATCTCGCAACGTCACCCGCGAGAAGTACAGCGAGCTGAAGCTGATTGGCAACTTTGCTAGAGTGTCACCGGCCTACCTTGTCTCAACGCCAGGAAGCTTGACCACCTCCAAGTACACCACCTCGTCTGATCTTGCCGTGACTCCCCTGCTCGGAGGCAACAGCACGGCTTCTTCCTTCTTCATCGTCCGACACTCCGACTACTCGAGCCAAGCCTCCGTCGATTATAAGCTCAAGGTTCCTACTAGCGCCGGCGATGTGACTATTCCCCAACTTGGCGGAAGCCTTACTCTCAGCGGCCGCGACTCCAAGGTTCATGTTGTTGACTATGACGTGGCGGGCACCAACATCCTCTATTCCTCTGCTGAGGTCTTTACTTGGACGACGTCTGGCAAATCCAAGATTCTTGTGCTGTACGGCGGCCCTGGCGAGCACCACGAGTTGGCTGTCTCTTCCACGTCGAAAGCCTCGGTCATTGAAGGGTCGTCATCGAGCATCACCACTAAGCAGGTGGGCAAGGCAGTTGTTATCGGCTGGGACGTCTCCACCAATCGCCGTATCGTGAAACTTGGTGATCTGAAGATTGTTCTTCTGGGTAAGTGCTCTCTAGATAGCGCCCTGCTTCATCGTAGCTGACTAAATTACCAGATCGGAACTCTGCCTACAACTACTGGGTCCCTCAGGTCCCAGCCGAGGGAACAAGCCCTGGGTATAGTTCCCAAAAGGCCGCCCCCTTATCCGTCATCGTCAAAGCTGGCTACCTCGTGCGAACTGCTTATGTGCAGGGCGACGACCTCCATCTCACTGCTGATTTCAACGCCACCACCCCAATTGAGGTGATTGGTGCCCCATCCAAGGCCAAGAACCTCGTCATCAACGGCAAGAAAGCGCAGGTCAAGGTCGACAAGAACGGAATCTGGTCCAGCAGCGTTGCTTACACAGCACCGAAGGTCGAGCTTCCGACTCTGAAGAGTCTGAAATGGAAGTCTATTGATACTCTTCCCGAGATCCAAACCTCGTACGATGACTCCGCCTGGATTTCTGCAGACCAAGCCACCAAAAACAGCATCTATAAACTCAAGACTCCAACCTCGCTATTTGCCTCCGACTACGGCTTCCACACCGGAACCCTTCTCTTCCGGGGCCACTTCGTCGCAACCGGCGACGAGAAGACTTTCTTCGTGCAGACACAAGGAGGCAGCGCATTCGGCAGCTCCGTCTGGCTGAACGAAAACCACATCGGATCATGGGGTGGAATTTCCACCGACGATGACCACAACGGAACCTACACACTACCAGCCCTGAAGAAGGGCGAGTCGTACGTGTTCACCGTGGTCGTCGACAACATGGGCCTAAACGAAAACTGGGTCATCGGCGAGGACCAGATGAAGAACCCCCGCGGTATCCTAAACTATGAACTGTCCGGCCGCTCCGCTAGTGACATCAACTGGAAGCTGACCGGAAACCTGGGCGGTGAGGATTACCTGGACAAAGTCCGCGGCCCGCTCAATGAGGGCGGTCTCTACGCCGAGCGCCAGGGCTTCCACCAGCCCCAGCCGCCGACTCAGAACTGGAAATCCGACAGCCCCTTCGACGGCCTGTCGGCGCCTGGAATCAAGTTCTACAGTGCAAGCTTCGATCTGAATGTTGAGAAGGGTTGGGATATTCCCCTGTACTTTAACTTCGGGAACACCACCTCTTCGCCGGCGGCTTACCGTGCCCAGCTCTATGTCAACGGGTACCAGTACGCCAAGTATGTGAACAATATTGGTCCCCAGACGAGCTTCCCTGTTCCCGAGGGTATTCTCAACTACCGCGGTACCAACTATTTGGGTTTGAGTCTGTGGGTGCTTGAGTCGAATGGTGCCAAGTTGGAGAGTTTCGACCTGATTCATACTACTCCTGTGCTGACGGCGCTGAATGTTGAGTCAGTGGATCAGCCTAAGTATGAGAAGCGCAAGGGGGCTTACTAGGTGCTGGCAAGTACATAGATAAATAGTTCCGATGAGAGTATACAATACAAAGACAGTGAGTCGATGTACTTCGTATTCCGGTGTTATCTTGAATATAATGAATGATCAGACTGTCCTTCCGAGGTTGGAAAATGTCGAAGTACTAAAAAGTAGGGCTTCTCTGGAAGGTCCCACTTCTCCGCAGATCCCAGCCACCCCAACCTCCTCCTCTCTTTGGACAAATTTGCTCGCATTTTTCTTATTTCCTTGCGCTTTTCAATTTATCAGTCTTAACATCCTAATATCTTTGAACATTGTACTTCATATTTCCAATAATTCCAACAAAATCCACTCCTCTGACACCGCATATACCACTAAACCCCATAAGCGCATCAGCTCGCAAGCTGAGCTCAAAACCACCCATTCGCTCGAATCGAAATACCCCAACCCTCGCACAATCATCTCGACATCTACCCACCTTCACAACCCAGAACCAACAACAAAACAACCAGCACCATGTCGTCCCACCCCCTCGAAGCCCTTGACTTAGATCCAACCAAACCCAACCTCAACACAAGAGACCTAAACTCAAACCTCCTCCACACGGACACCTCCCTCCAAAAGCGCTACACAACAATCTCAATCCCCTCAACGTACGGGCGATTACAGACCAGCCCCGCCGCAGGCACAGTAGTGGGAATCGTACTGGGCAGCGTAGCAGGCTTCGTACTGCTAATGTACGTACTCTTCCTGGCGGTGAACCCGGGGGGAATTGCGCGTGGCGGCGCCGCAGCACCAACCTCATCCTCGATATCGATGTCGATGTCGATGGACGAAGAAGAGATCGTTGATGTGCGCGATCGACGCGGCCCAGGCGCTGGGCGACGGCGGCGCGACGTCATCGAGGTCACCGAGGAAAGGGATAGTTTCCGTGATAGTTATCGGCGTCGTCCGTCGTCGAGGCATGATCGTGTTATTGTAGAGGAGTCTTTGGCTACTTCTACGACGGGTGATGAGGATGTTATTGAGGTTGAGGAGGAGGAGTCTAGTGTGCCTTCTGATGTTTCGCCGCGTCCGCCGCGGAGGTCTAGGAGGGGTGGGGTTAGGCATGTTGACCCCCTTGCCTATGGTGGGGGTAGTGATTATAGTAGTCAGCGGTGATTTTGGATTTGGTGTTTTGTTTGGAGGTTTGGGATGCGATACCCGGGGCTTTTTATGTATGTATGGATTATGCATTATGTGTTATGATTTATTCTTTATTAATTGATGATGCGGGGGAAAAGGTTCATAAGCAAATATGCCTAAGATGAGTATATGACGAGAGCAATAAACACAGCCTACGTCGCACAATTATCTTCGGACTGTACCGTATGTATACGGAAAAGGATGAATTAGGTAGATAATAAACCAGGTGGAAGGAGAGTAAACAAAAAGTAGTGTAAAAAATAAGTTTAGTACAATTGAGTCCCAAACCCTTAGGATCCAAGAACGCCGTGTCCTGTTTGCGCCAGCAATAAGTAATAAAAGCCAAGGATATATACGAGGGGAACAACAAGCAATCACACCCTGAGATCACTTCCGAACCCAGGAACGCCAGCCTCTCGATGTTCTTCTCAAGAGTATAGCGCGTGCACGGCATAGCGACTTGGACAAGACACTCCAACACCAGCCAAACCAAAACTAAAGTAGCGTAGTCGCGTATTAAAAGCCAGGACCAGAAGTAGGCCTAGAACAAGATATCCAAACAGCAGCAACAAGCCATCGCAGCCATGATACCAGCACAGATGCCACCTGCACCACCGCCGGAGTTCCCGCGGTCGTTGGCATAGTATCCCTGTTGAGGGGGGTAGCCGCCCTGCTGTTGCGGTGGGTAGTACATCGGCTGGCCTTGGGGGTAATAGCCCTGCTGATTTTGCTGTGGCTGGCCATAGCCTTGCTGGGTTGGGTAGTAGCCCTGTTGTTGGGGCTGGCCGCCGTAGTAGTCGCCCGCGGCGCCTTGCGGCTGTTGGTAGTAAGGGCCCGCGTCGTGGGCCTGGGCTGGGTAGGAGGGTGGTGGGCTTGTCTGGAAGATATTAGCATTCAGGATTTGTGTTTTAAGGATATTTGCGATTGATTGTTCTTGGAACTTACGGGTTTGTTATAAGACATGGTGGGGAGTGAATGCGGAGTTCCCGGGAGATGTCAGACTTAGTGCTGAGTCAGGGGGATTGCGCTGTAAATGTGTGCCTGTTTCTCTGACGGGTTCGGTGTGGACTCGAAACCCGCGAACAGTAAGCAGTAAGGAGAGAGGGGGATAGAAAGATAGAAGTCAAGAAGGGAGGAGAAGCGCCGGAATCGAGAAAGACTCGCAGCCTTGGAGTGGCGCAGTTCCTGGCTTAGTCAACCGCTTTCCACGGTTTTCCGTTCCAAGATTTTATACTTACGCGGCCTCATTTTTACTATTAGGGTAAGCAATACTTAGATATCTTTTATACATTGTTTTAATTCTCAGTGTTATAGCTAGAATGATAATAGTTGACTATATGAGTACAGGAATGATAACAATATGTAGTACCTACTACAAAATAGACATGTCGGGCTTGTCACTCTGGCCTGACGGCAAAATACCAGAAACTTCTCCGTATATAAACAGGGACATAGGTAGGTATAGTATGGAACATTGCGTGGGAGTAGTAGCCTATATGCATAAAGCAGTCACTAACCACGGTCTACAACTTCCTCCTCACCTAACTCGACTTGAAATGACAGCCATTCGTAAATTGGATTTATCTAGACATACAAAGAAACGGCCATTATGTAAAATCATAGGCAAAACCCCCATCGCAATCCCCAAAGGAGGAGAAACGTCGCGCCTATACGCCATGCTGCCCATAATACAAGGGGGATACCAAAACTTTTTTTGTGTTTGTTGAATGTCCGTCGAGTAAAAAAAAAATAACTCCCAAGTGTCCACTTCTGTCTGGCATCAGCTGCTCTTTCTCGACTGCCAATTGCGTATTTCCTGCATAGCTGCATAGTGGGAAAGGTGTCATATCGGCGACAGTGAAGTGGACTTGATGCGATTCGAATTTGCGAGGTTGAGGTTCATAGGAACCGGGTTTTGACTCTTTGCAAAACTCCGAAATGAAAGGAAAAGAAAAAAGAAGAGAAAGACCTAGCGTCAGTCCATGAAAGAGTCGCACATCAATCTTCCTGTTCTATTCTCCACAACATGGTTTCCGGCTTAAATGACCCAGCGGTAACTGGCATAGCGACCCGCAGTTTCAGACTTGCGGATGATCTTAACGACCTGACCACGGCGCAAGCCAAGATAGCGGGCAACAGGATCGGAGATCTGTATGCGGGGCAGTTGGGACTCCTTCAGACGATAGCGCTCAAGAAGCTTGGCCTTTTCCTCAGGGCTAAGCAGGACGTGCTTGGGGACCAGCTCGTGGCGGGTGATGTTGACGAGCAGATCCTGTTCCTGGAAGTGCTCGCAGATACGGCCGGGGACGCCAGAAAGCAGGCGCACGGCGGAGGGCGAGATTGGTGTCTGCGTGATGAAGATACCAGTGTGGAAGTTGTTCTCGTCGACAAGGTGGTTGAAGGCGCGCACCTGCTTGGTTCCGACACCTGACGAGTCGGGGCAGAAGTCGACGTAGATTGTGCCGCAGTCTGGCTGGGGGTTTGGGTTTGCTTTGCTGGGCAGTGCTGTGTACTTCATCTTCATGGTGTCGGTGGGGCGGGCTTGGATTTTCATCTTGGTGCGACTGTTGTTGCGCAACAGTTTGTTAGTGATGTGTGACTTTTCAATGATGTGTGTCGGAATTGCCTGGCTCAAGTTTGACTATCTCAAGGCAATGGGGTGGTGGACGCAAGGATTTCGCATACTCAGGGTAGCCCAGAGGGTCAGCATATTTTGCGCGGAAGTCTTCTAGCGGGAGTAGCAGCTCGTTATCAGACACTTCGTAGCCCTGTCGTGTCGCCGATGGTTAGCCTTGGGTGAATGGGCATTATGGGAGAGACACTGAGAAGTCAGGAACTCGATCTGAAGTGCCTACCCGGTCAGCGAGCAGTTCATAGACTGTTCTAAAGGTGCGCCAGAGCCGAGTCATCTCGCGCTCGGCCTCCATGGAGTGTGCCGAATCCCCATCCATAATGGAGTGAGAATTTAATAAACTGAGATAGAAAGGAAATAAGAGGTTATCTCGCCAAGAGAGCTTTTCCTTTTTTAAAAGAAAAACGGACAGAAAGAGCTCCGATGGAGAGATAAAGGTGAAGTCGAAAAATCGGCGGGAACTTTCTGCCAGCGACGCTTAAGCGGAGAAACCGACCGAACCATTTTAATTATTCCAAGTTTCCCCTTTTCAGTTTCCCTTTGGTCTCGTTGGTCTATTTAATCCCTTCAGGATCCTCAGAAGGCAATTCCTCTCTTTCCTTCTCTGTCTCTCTTTTTCCATTCAATTCGTCGCAATGGCTCCTACTGCTGCGGAGCGGGTTAAGCCCACCAAGCCCGACGAGGCCGCCTATAAGACCAGTCTCGCTGAGGCCGAGAAGGAGCACGCTGCTGCTCAAGAGAAATTGGTATGGATGCCTTTTTCTTTTTGGAATTCTCACTTGAGCTCTCGTCCGACTCTGAGTCGCGGGATGATCCCTGACCCACTCTGATTGTTAATTGTCCTCGTGTCCATTATTTACTCGCATACCATGTCCTCGGGCAAATGACTGATATGCGCAACAGAACCAAATCAAGGCCAAGTTGGACAACGCCAAGCCTAATAACCAGGATTCGCCTATCGTTAAGAAGCAGCAGGAGCTGCGCGCCGAACTCTCCGCCATTCGTCAGAAGCAATCAGGCTTTAAGTCCAGCCGGTCCTCCATCCAGGAGAAGATCAACGCCTTGGACGCCAACCTCAAGGCCCGTATTACCGAGCAGAACAACTCTCGCGGACGTTTGTCATTCAAGAGCGTCGAGGAGATCGACAAGGAGATTTCCCGCCTCGAGAAGCAGGTTGACTCTGGTACCCTCCGCCTGGTGGATGAGCGCAAGGCTCTCACCGAGGTCTCCAACTTGCGCAAGCAGCGCAAGAGCTTCGCCGGATTGGATGAGGCGCAGAAGGGCATCAACGACATCAAGACACAGATCTCCGAATTGCGCAAGACCCTCGACAACCCCGAGGCCAAGGCGCTGAGCGACAAGTACGGCGAGATCCAGAAGGAGCTCGATGCCATCAAGGCCGAGCAGGATGGTGTTTTCAAGAACCTGAACGCTTTGCGCGATGAGCGCACCAAGCTGCGCAACGAGCAGCAGGAGAAGTACACTGCTATCCGCACTGTCAAGGATACCTACTTCAAGGCCCGTCGTGCCTACAAGGAGTACGAGGATGAGGCCTGGCGCGTGCGCCGCGAGCGCCAGAAGGCTGAGCAGGAGGCCTTTGCGCGCGAGAAGCGCAAGAAGATTGCTGATAAGAAGCTGGAGGAGGCCTCCCAGCTTGCATACGCCGACGAGATCCTGACTGCCCAGGGTCTGATCCGTCATTTCGATCCCGCGTATGACTTCTCCTCCCTGGGTCTGGATGAGAAGAAGGACGAGGGCAGCAATTTCCGTGCCGGAGTTGGCCGCACTGTTGAAGCCGCCGAGATCAAGGGAATGAAGGTTGTGCGCAAGAACGACGAGGAGGACTACTTCGTCGGTTCCGGCGGCAAGAAGGGTAAGAAGGGCGGCAAGAAGGGTGGTGCCGCCGCCAGTGTTGAGAGCACCAAGTTCAACATGAACGTTGGTATCATTGAGGACTTCGCCAAGGTCAAGATTGACCCCCCTATGAACCAGTCGGATGTCCCCGCCTCTGTGGAGAAGCTGGCTGCTAAGATCACCGAGTGGAAGAAGAACCAGGCCAGCAAGACGGAAGAGGTAAGTTTCATCTTTTTCCAAAGTAGTCGATTTTGATCAGTTGCTAATTACCACACAGAACATCAAGAAGGCCCAGGAAGAGATTGCCCGTCTCGAAGAGGAGGAGACCAAGGCCACCGCTCCTCAGACCAACGGCCGGTCTACCGATGCTGCCAAGAAGCCCGCGCAAGAGAACGGTGTTCCGTCGGCAGAGGCTGAGCAAGCCCAGGAGGAGGATGCCGTGGCCGACGTTGAGGCTGAACTCAAGAAGGCCACGATCGAGGAGAAGGCATAGATTTGACGAGGAAGTTATTAGTACATGCTGAATGCGTCAACTTATACATGAAGTCTAGCGTTTGTCTAGCATTCTCTCTGCGCATTGTTTTTTCGTCTTTTTTGTCGTTTGGCTCTTGCATATGCATTATATCTAACTTTCATAAATGGACAGCTGGTTCTAAAATTCATATAATCGAAGCCTTTTATTTTGACATCCAATCTCAAAAGAACTTGGAAAGGACCTTAGGAGAAAGGCCCACACTCTGATCAGGGTTGTGCAGCATCATGTGATGATATTTAATTAACTTCCAAATGATCATGTCAAGTCGTATCTTGTTGTAAATGTATGTAGATAGTAGTTAGGTAGGAGTACATTATTAGCAAGCCAGGGCTCCAAAGAGAAAGAGTGCTAGTCATGCCCAAGCCGTTGGTAGTATCCAAGGGATCTCGGGAGGTAACACCTCCAACGCCGACGCTAGCAATCGCATGAGGGGGAATAAAACGGAGAGGAAGCAGCAAGCACTAAACAGTAAATAGGGAAGAAGATACAGGGATGGTGCGAGATGTGTACATAGTCTCCCAAAACCAAAACAAGAGCGAAATATTCCATGTACAGGAGATAACAAGCCTCATCCCAAAATGTCCATTAAACAAAACGAAAGAAAAGGAAGCGAAATAGTCGTCACATCATGTCATATCACATCGCATCGACCTTGAAAGCGGTTAATGCTCATGTCGTGCTAACAACCCACCAACATCATGGAGCTCGACATCAGTATCGAGCGTCACATCCGAAGAACCAGATGTCGAAAGCAAACGGTTACCAAAAGCCGCCGGCGGAAACGGTAGTTCCGCAGGACCAGAATGCGGCGGCCGAGGCCTATCCGCAGCAGCGCGTGGCCCAAAAATCCCCAAATCCTCCAAAAAAGCCCTACTACCCCCACCTGGACGGCGCGGCACATCCTCTACCGGCGAGGCCAGGCAAGTCTGGGCGCGCACATGATCCGACCCAGACTCCGGGAGTGCTCTTGTCAACAAACCGCCGACATCTGAGAACGAGACGCGGCGCGTCTGTGGTGAGGGGGATATCTCGCGTGGGGACTGGCTTGTGCGCAGATACTCGTGCGGCGAGACTTTGCGCTCGAGGCTTTCTGTCGCCGAGATGCGGTCGTCGTCTGAGTGACGGGTCGTTGCAAACGACCAAGTCGGATCGAGGGTGCCGGTGCGAGCGACTGCTAATGGGATGTGAGCTGGTGGGGCGGTTGGTGCTGGTCTAGGTAGACGTGTTGCGTCTGAGGTGTCTGGGATAGTGTACATTTCTGGGTCTAGACGGATGCATAGGCCAGTTGCTAGTTCTGAGTCTGAGCCCCATTGGTTCTGCATGACTGTGTTTCTGCGGAGGAAGGACTTGTCCATGCTTTCTGAGACGGAGGCTGAGCCTTGTGCGCGTTTGTATTTTAGTTTCTTGAGGCCGCGGTCTCGGACGAAGGAGCCTATGACGAGGACGTTGGAGACTGCTGTTGCGGCGAGGATTTCGAAGGAGGCGAGGAGGGAGCGGTATGGTTGGGAGCCTTTGTGTTCGATCACGGAGGGGACGCGGTAGGAGGTTATGGCGACCAAGATCAGGGATAGGCAGAAGAGGGTTGATAGGGTGAGTCTGCGCTTTAGAGGCATTTGCGCCATGAGGATTATGGGGATTGGGATGGCCACGAGTAGCAGGTCGGTTATCACATCGCAGGTGCCCATTGTTATTAGATTGACGTAGCCGGTGCGACATGTTGGGCCTGGGTCTGGGATGACCTGCCAGTAGTGGTGGAAGGGCTGGCATTCGGCCAGGGTTGCGATGACCACGGCTACGAGGGTTGAGAAGAGGAAGTAGGAGATGAAGCGGAGGAAGAAAGTTGTCGATCGGCGCCAGGCAAGTCCTGTGACTCGCTTTAGGAATTCGCACACGGTCACTTTGGCCGTCCAGATGCTATAGTTGTGGTTTGTGAGTCACTTTGAACTAGCAGGTCGAAGTTAAAGACCGGGGTGAATTGGGTGCGTCTTACAAGATGGCGTAGAAGATACGCGCAGCAAGAACCAGCTTGCTGCCCAGCTCTCTGTTCGATATCTCCTTCTCTGTCAAGCCTGTGGTGGTGGTATTGTTGGTCCCCAAGATGAGAACGAAATGCACGAGGACCATGCGAATCACCAGGGGAATGACGCTGATCATCATGACCTTGTCCTCGGCGAAAAATCGCTCAACGCGAATGTAACGGCCACATAGGCGCACGATGATAATAAGCAACGAGAATATGGTAGCCCACCAGCTCATCATAAGCGTCGGATTGATCTGGGCTCTGGTCTGCATGGCTGGCGAGGTCTCGTGATAAATGCCACGCGCGACCAGCGACACGGCCATGGAGGCCATAGAGGCCATGATGCCTAAATAAAAACAGCAGACTCGCAGAAAGCGATTCACCAAGTGCTTTTACATTGCTCACATGTGGGAAGGAAAGTGTGGGGATGTCACGGTTATGGGGCAAATTGCGGAGAACTAGAAACAGCGATCTTAAGATGAGAGGCCCGAGAAAGATGTACAATATAAGATGGAATCGGGAGAGATAGGGGAAATTAATTAAAACCTTGGAAAATAATCCTGCCCAGGTGGAAGAGGGGAAAAGATCATGACCAGATAAGCCAAGCCTCCATTTCACGTTGCAAACAGCCAGTGATATTCGACTGGCTAATCGGGGAGATTCAAACTTTTTAAAGGTCTTAGCTCTCAGATATGTGGAGGGATAACATACAAAGAAATCACAATAGCTTTAATATGGGCATTTTATCTCATATGGAATATTCCTCCAATGACTACCAGGTATACCCTGTTAGGAACGGAGGACGGCGGCTATTGGGTTATAAGGGCTTACGGTGTACACGTGGACTATTGCTACTTTGAAGATAAAGCCTCCCTGTACTCCGTACTACATACATGGATATCCACAGATATAAAAAGGTAAAAGCAACCCGATAAGTGAGTTAACAGTTATCGTCCTTTGATATATTCTAGCCAAGGATGATCTATTCCGTACTCCGTCGGACAACCTTGGAATGTTATCTCCCCAAACCTTATGATCCCTAAAATGATTAATCGCGCAAGCCTCCCGAGGTCATCCAACCACAGCTGCCGCCGAGTCTTCCCGCCTCTTCTCATCACGAAGCGATTCAATTCCAGACCCAGCACGCAGCCCATCCAACACAACCCGTAACTCCTTAAGGAACTTGGTAACCTCCGCCTCCGTACCGACCGTGATACGGAGACAACCCTCACACCCAAGCTCCTTCCCACGGAAGCGGACCACCACACCACGCTTCTCCGCCATGGCCTCGTAAGCCGCAAGCGCAGTCACGTTGCTTGGTCGGCCCTCGGCGTCCAGAATCTGCACGAGCAGGAAGTTCGCATCGCTACCGCCAAGGAATCGCCCCACACCGGGAATCGCCGGTAGTTCGCGGAGCAAACGGTCGCGTTGCGCGATGATCTGCGAGCGGAAGCTGTGCATCACCGCCAGATTCGGCGCGGTGAGTGCCGCGGAAGCAAGCGCGCTTGTCGGGCTGGAAATGTTATAAGGGGCTTTGAGGCTGTTGAGTAGACGTGCAACCTCCACGCTGGCGTAGGCCACGCCCAGGCGGATACCAGCCAACCCAAATGCCTTGCTGAGTGTCTGCATGACGACTAGGTTGGGCCACTCGGTCACCCACTCTGCCAGGCTGGAGCCTTCCGGGGCAAAGTCGATATACGCCTCGTCGACCACCACGATGCCGTTCCATGTCGGGTGCTCGAGTACCTTGCGGATGTCCTCCTTGCGGATCAGATTCGCGGTCGGGTTGCCCGGCGAGCAGATGTAGGCTAGCTTGATTGATGGGTCGGCCGATAGGGCCTCATTGACTTTATCGGCTTGTAGGTGGAACCCGTTCGTAGCGTCTAGTGGTACCTTGACGATATCGACGTCGTTTACCTGCGCGCTAACGCTGTACATTCCGTAGGTCGGAGGACAAGTGAGGATCTTGTCTTTTCCAGGGACGCAGAAGCAGCGTAGTAGCGCGTCAATGGCTTCGTCTGAGCCGACGCCGCAGAACATGTGCTCCGGGAGGAGGGTCTTCGGGGTGTGGTGGTGGGTATTGCGGAGGTTACAGAAGAGCTGCTTCAGCTCAATCTGGTGACTGGGAGACGCATTGTTAGTCAAATTGATTTGAATAAGACCAGACAGTAGAATTTCACTCACGGATCGGGGTAGCGGTTCAGGCCGAGGAAGTCAATCTCCGGCTTGGAAGCTCCCGTGGCATTGCCAGTCGGGGAGGATTGCAATGCCCCCTCGCTGTTCAGGGCAAGACCTGGACCGAAGGCATTTTCGTTGGCGTCGAGGAGGACGTTCGTCCCATCATCTTTGTAGTCACTGACTCATTAGCTCGCCGATACCGGTGAGTCGGAAAGGGTAGCATACTCTCTGGCACATCGGTAAGGCTGCAATGCCAGGATATTAGGACGGGCGCAAGTGGCCAAATTAAACGGAGACGTTGAAGCCATTGTGGTGATGGGAGGAATGTGAGATGTTGAGCAAAGTAGCCCATATGGGGGGATTTTAGTGGGACTCTCTGAGTCAAATGCCACCAAGTATTTCCAAGGTTACCCACCCGCATTTTTACCCCACCACTCATGTAAATTACGCCGCAAAGCCATCTCCCAGTCTGAAAGACAATGGCGATGGCAATGAGAGAGAGCTGCGATCCTGCACTTATACATCGACTTCATGTTTGAGACAGTCTTTGTGCCTTCTTATAGTCTCTTGTCTATTCATTTGTCTTTTTCTAAACTGGCCAGTAACGCAGTGGATGACTACGCGCGGACTTTGAGAAGGTAGGTAGCTCTGCTCCTTGCGGTCCTGAGATACCCTATTAACCGTCTGTGCCCGCATTGATGTCATTAATTGGACCTATATCGCAAAGGTCAAGCTGTAGGTAACTCGCCATATACACCCCTGAACTTTGTAGCCGACAATCAAATTGTATTTACAATTTCGGCATCCTTCCATGGGCCCGCACCTACTAGCACATCAAGAGATACTACGACGATTTGCTTGGTTATCACTCTAATCCAAAAGCCACGATCAAACTCTTCGGCAAATCAAACAAGCAGAAGGTTCAAAGTTCCATTCCGTACTATGGTGTTTTCACTCTGACTGTGATGGTGCGACAGAACAGGATGCTCCGAATACTGAGCTAAAAAAAAGTTACGTCCAATAGACCAGTCTCAGAGAACACGGAAGCTATCAGCCAATGAGCCTTGGAACTCTGGACAGGCCATGCTGCGTTGGCTCGGACTTCCGAAGATGTGTTTCGGACGACAGTCAGGTTCCCAGAAAAGGGAGCGACGTTCCAACTATGGGCTCGTTTATATCAGGCTGGTAGGAGTTATGACGATGACCCTAGCTCTCCGCGAGGTTCCATGCTCTGCTATCAGTCTCCGAGAGAAGGATCTGTATAAATGCTCCCATCCCATCCCCTATCCTGTCTATTTACACGACCGAAGTCAACGTATTGCAACAAGTATTCAAATCGGTTATTACAAAATAAACTCGGAGGGAGAATGGTAACTGCCGTGTCAATAGGTATGCTCTTTACGTTTTCTACAGATTATTTGCTACATATATAGCTATACCCTTCTATGATGAAAGCCAAGGAAGTTATGCGCTGGTCCCGCTCCATGGTACCTTGTTATCTGCCGCCAATGAAGACCGGCGATCGGTACCCTACAATAAGACCCCTTTCAATGTGGGCGATCAGCGAAGATTCAGGGTCTGATAATAAGAGGGAGATATCTAATTTTGTTCGGTACGGTTGTGTAGCTTCTCGGATGAAGTAGGCTGGTAAGACAATGCGGCGCGACCTTTTCCATCCGACACTCACAAGTATAACAACTTCCGGAAGGTTTAGTGGTGGTAATGGTTTCCTTCGTTTTGGTGTTGCTCAACGACTGTCTGATATGCCGACGATCATCAAAATCAATGAGAATAAGCATACTGTCTTTAACTGCCTCAAGTAGCGCTGGTATGTAAATCAGCAAAGGATAGCACCTTTTTATTTTGACATTAGCGGGGTGAGCTGATATACGGAGGGAGAACAGTTGAGTGGTGCGGCCCGCACCGTGCGGAGTGTGACTAGCGGTCTTGGCATGTTGACATGGATCTTTATCTCCCTCACCCCTTGAGTCACCTTCAAGTCCTCTATCTTCAAGCACTCCTACGTCCGTGAGCTTGACTTTTCTACATTAACATGAGGGCTATAATAAACTCCTTTTAGCCCTCTAACCACCCGGCTGGTCAGCATGCAGCGCACGCTGCCGCTTCTCCGCGGAGAAATCAGTCTCTCCAAGGCGCTACGACGATGACAATGTCCTCCAAGACTCTCCTATCCTGAACGGCGATTGGAGTTCTATGTATACCTTAATTAACACCGCACCGTAATCGAGTCAATCGTGTCGTATCACATGAACCTAGACAAAATGCAGACATGCCGTGTCGGGGAAGTCAAAGAGTGGATTGCCGGGAGCTTCAACGCGTGGATACCAGTAGACACTTATGGACACAATGACAATGCACCCAAACGGGTTCTCATCAGGTTTCCTTTGCCTTACAAGGTCGGGGAGATTCAGCACCCGGGCAATGCAGGCGAGAAGCGTCACTGCGAGGCTGCAACCTTTAACTGGATTCGGCAGAACTATGCTTCTGTACCAATACCTCGGTTGTAGGGCTTCGCGTTTGCAGAAGGCCCATCTGTGAGTGGGTTGCTAAATTGATTTGTGAGTCAATTTAATACTGGTCTAGTTCCGCGATTGAGCACACCCCCGTCTTTAGCCGGCTGAAATGGTATGCTCACCATGTAGTATCGTCTATTTTAGGGTGTCCGCTCCGAACACCTTACTTATGTCGAAATTGTCTTTTCAACCTGACAACCAGATATCTCATCATGGATCACGTCGGAAGTACCAATACTGTGATGCTTTCTGAGTCTTGGGATAAGTTACGCCACGACCAAAAACGTAGAACCAACCTTTTTCACGGGTTGAGTCGAATTATCTTATCCTTCGCTCAGCCTCTCCTCTCGATCGCATCGAATCTCTAACAATCGATAATCAAGGGATTATAAACATGCCAATCGCCCTTTGACACTTCGTCTCCACCATCTAGAAGACGAGTCTGTCCCCACCAACCTGGACAGGGACTTTACATATTCAACAATCAATAGCTACTTTATGGACTTGCTGTCCTACCACGACAGTCGGTTGCGCCACGCCCCAAATTCAATACGGAACAAGGCCGACGGTGAAGCACAGTTGTCAAGTCTGACCATTATGCGAGCTCTACTGCCAAATTTCTCCTAACGCGATTACCGGCGTGGACCGTCTATCATGACCTTGACGAATCCACATTAAAGTAACCTCTTTGTCAACTCTGACTGGAACTTCAAGTCACTCGTCGATCTAGAGTGGACATGTTCACTACCGGTTGAGATGCTCCATCCGCCCTACTGGCTCTAGCCGTGGGGTGGACCAGTTATACAAAGGAGAGGACGTCGATGCTTTTAGCAAAATTCATGCCGAATTCATGAATGTCTTCGAGGAGGAAGAACAGGCTCATTCTCAAGCGGGGAATAAGGCGTTCGGTCTCACAAGTATCATGAGGAAAGGCTGAGAAATTGGAAATTTCTGGTATTTTCACGCCCTCGAAACTCCCAAAGGCTTATATAATATCTTCCTACAACACATACAACCAAGGTACTCGAAACTGGATGACGCTGGGATAGTGGACTTTGAACGGACCATCTCGCCATATTGGGCACCAGACATACAAAAATTCCTTGATGACAAGATGAAAGATAAAAGATATGTATGAAGCTCATCTTCGTGACGCCTTCGCAGACGCCCGAGAAGAACCGCCTAACTCTGGGTCACATTCTGCCAGTTGAAGAATGGAGTTGTTTGATGTCATGCTTGTCCCCGAACCCCAGTCTGCCTGGTTCCTTGAGTCGTCGCTTGGCCACCAGCACTCTCATTCTGGGGACGCCGCAGTGCCGCTTCCGTCCGGCGATCCTGGGCTTTTCTTTCCAGATGATGATAACTGTTCCATCGTCTTCCGGTTGCTCAAGCCAAGTGTGACAGCGTTGCGGGCCTTGCGCTCTGCTGCCTCCTGCGAGCCACGTCCGTCAGCCACTTTGTGCTTTAGGAGTCTTCTGTATTCAGGAGCTTCGGCTTCCCCGTAGGTCTAGTAGAAGAGGGTATTTAGCATAATCGACGTGTCCTTGTCACTCCCATGCCAGTTCGATCGATTCAACAGCACGGGATCTTGGGTAAAGAAAATTGCATACCTGATAGCGCTGAGGCAATATGACCAACAAATACCAAGCAAGTTTGGCGCTTTAGTGGACTCGGTCAAAAAGGGCGGCAAACACCTCTCACCACGCGTCTAAGGAACTAGCACCGGTTACCTGCTGAGCCTCAGACTATTTGAGGGGCTAAGATCCAGAGAAAGTAGTGTTGTGACCACGTCACCCCGTCCACGTAGCAGATTGTCTAGTCTAGGCAGATGCAGCTGCATATACGCCTCCCTGCACACCATCACTTAGCTATTTCACCACATCAAATTACCTCCTCTTAAAAGTCGGTATCAAAACCACTCAGATATTCGGGCCATAAGACAGCAACGGCATCCATAGGGATAGAAAATATCTAATCTAATACTTTTGTCCCCTGACGCAGGATAACTCCTAATCCTTCTGTGAACACTGCTAGGAAAATCTAAAATTCCTCCCTATCCTTGAGGGGTCAACAACCGATTTTGGCATTTAGTGCGAGAAAGGAACCTCGTTCTTCTCTGCCATCCGGATGCCCTCCGTTGTAGCCTCGTCCAAATCCTCAACGGGAAGGCCGAGCGCTTCATTATCCAGACCAATTCTGGACTCATAGTCACCATCCCCATCCGCGAAAAACATCCGACTGTACAGCATCTTAGTGAACACCTTCCAGTTGTGCACCTTCATGCCCTCCTGCCCCTCCTTGAAGCGCTCTGCAACAGAATCCTGCGAGATAGTCCAGTCGGCATCCGTAGTCTTGGTCACGCGCTTGACACTCTCAAACATATCGCGCTGAGTCAATCGGAAGCTCGAGACATGCGTAGAACGGTTCTTGAACTGGGACAGGGTAGGGGACTTGTCGTTCTCATCCTGGGGGAGTTCCTTCAAACTCAGCAATTTCGCAATAGCCCGACCACACTGCGGCCAAGTGCTTGTGTTGATAGGCACATCGCCGCCATCAAAGAGGGTGAAAGTGCGTTTGGCGAAATCGAAGCCAAAGCGATCTGGTCCGCCCCCCAGACTGAACTCGTACCAGAAGTTACAAACGAGGAACAAGTAGGAGCTCACGCCTAGACGGCTAATTTCGGCAATAAAGCGGTCACGGTTGGGGCTGAGCATGCTGTCGTTGCAGAGAGCGTCGTTGTCCGCGTCGTGCCCGTACCAGTTCGGCTCGATATACGCCACCCCGGCCTTGGCGGCGGCGCCAATAAGCCTAATCATGGTGTCGGGTGGAGCCATGACATTCATGGTGATCAGCAGGACTTGTTGGCCCCGCAGAACCTCCACGAGAGCTGTGTCGTCGTCGCTGGCATAATCGACGCGCGCAATTTCGACGCCTTCGGGCATTTTGTTGGTGCTGCTGGGGCGTGTGATGGCGGTCACGACATGTTTGCCGTTCTTGACAAGCTGATCGACGAGATGTCTTCCAACTGAGCCCCCGGCCTGGAGTTTATGTTCTTAACAATAGGGACTGGATGCGAGGAAGCGGTCGACATACCCCGACAATCGCGACCTTTTCGATGCGGTTGGTGAAGCCCTCAGGCTGGTCCTTGGCGTATCCGACCGCCATTGTGTTTTGTTTTTGTACGTAGTTGTTAAAATGAAATACGGTCTGAAAACGAAATTTGATCTGGTTGGAATAGATCCAAGGGCGGCCTGGTAAATACTCGTGGTCGACGGAGAGCAACAAAGAAGCGGAGTTAGGACTTTCAACGGAGACAAGCTATCTCCATTCGAGACGTTCTGCTTCTTCTGAAACGACGAACTGGTTAGACCAAACCCCGTGTTAGCTCCGACCTGTCCTTCGGGGGCCGAGGGGGAAACCAACCACGACACCCCGGGCCCTAGTTCGGGATCTACAACTGATCTACAGTCTAGCCCTAGCAATGCTTCAAAAGGGCACGATGCTAGAATATACGGCCGTGGACCCCGTTGGACAAATCTACAAACGTCATGTCGGAAACAGCTTTTCCCCTAGACGCACTGAGTAGCACTATTACCGAAAATGCCAGGATCGTGAGCGAATACCTAACAGCCCACGACTTACCACAACTATCATGCAACAGTGATGGTCCTAGTATCATTGTACCAACAGGCTCAACTACAAGCATCCAACAAGCACGCGAGAACCTCATAGCAGCCTCGCTGGAGATCGCCCAACTGGCCATTGGACCCAGCGAGTTCCTCCCAAATCTCGCGACTGGTGTAAGATGGACGTTGGTCGCGGGTTACAGAAGAAACAAAATCCATACTGATTCTATATAGTTTCAATATGTCTCATGTCTCCACTGGCTATGCCAATTCGCTATCTTCCACTTGATCCCACCCAACGAGCCCATCAAGTATGCCGATCTCGCAGCAGCAGCCAAAGTGCCCGAGCAGTGACTCAAAAGTATCATCCGCATGGCCATGACAAACTCCCTATTCCGCGAGCAACCGGATGGCAAAGTGTCGCTCACTCGGCGACATCCGCGCTGCTGGCGCACAATGAAGATGTCCACGCATATGCGCTGTACATGTCTTCGCGGACCGCGCGCTGCGCCCAACAGATGGCCCCAGCGCATCAGAAATGGGGAGCCGACAGCACGCGCACCAACGAGACGGCTTTCAATCTGGCGTATAACACCGACTTACCCTTTTTCGAGTATCTGTCGGGCAAGGAAGACTTCATGACGGATTTCGCGCAGTATATGCGAAACGTGAGGAAGTAGCGAAGGGGTGGGCATCAAGAATCTAGTGGGTGGATACGAGTGGCAGGGGATTCCCGATGGGGGCGTGGTTGTCGATGTAAGCTCTTGGATTCTTTGAAGTCCGAATCGTCCTGGGAAATGCATTCTTTAACATGGATTCAGGTCGGAGGATCAACCGGCAGGTCTGCGATCGCGCTGGCTGAGGCATATCCGCATCTCTCATTGATCGTGCAAGGTCTTCACGCGAATGCGGAAAATGGACGCAAAGCTGCACGGTCCATGTCGCCGGATCTCGTGTCGCGCATTACCTTCCAAGCTCACGATTTTACGAACCCACAGCCGGTACAGGGGGCAGATGCATACCTTCTCCGGATGATCTTTCACGACTGGTCTGATGCCGAGGCCATAGCTATTCTGAAGCATATGGTGGCGGCGATGGACGGGGCCAAGTCTCGCTTATTGATCATGGATACTGTACTCCCCAAGCCGGGGTCTGTTCCGATCTCGGAGGAGCGCATTGTGCGTGCTCGGGATCTCACAATGATGCAGGCTTTTAATAGTAAGGAGCGGGACTTGGATGACTGGAATGAACTGTTTGCTGCTGCGGACTCTCGATTGCAGCTGGTTAAGGTTCTGCAGCCGCTCGGCAGTGCCATGCCGGTGCTCGAGCTGGTATTGGCTTAGTAAATGGAATTTCTAGGTTGAATATAGCTATTTTGCAATTATTGAAGCTTTATAAGGGTCTACAAGTCTTTACAAACTCGCTGAGGGAAGGGATATTGAAAGTAACGGGTTGTCTCATAATAAGTTTCGAGACTTCGAGCTGCGTTTGTGACACTCTTTGCAGTCGAAGCAAGGCTCAAAAAACAACTAGCTCAATGCCATGTTGACGTATGTCACGGCCAATGGCATCCAGTCGGTTCCTCTCATGCACCCGAGCGGTATGGGAAGTCGAGTATCTGTAGTTCAAATCGATTTAGAGTGTCTCAAGGGGACATCCTTGCTCAACTGCCTTGCGCACAAATTCCCGCAACCCAGCTTCCTCTTCTTTTTTGAAGTCAATCGTCCGTTCGAATCCCTCGCCGACCATCTCAAAGTCCCACTCAAACATACGAAGTCGCGGGGCGAGAAGATTCTCGGGGGATTGGTAAACTCTTTTGTTTAACATCTGAGGGGCGACTACCATTTCTTTCCCTAGACGTAGTGTCTCGAGGTTTGGAAAATCGCGAAGATTAAAGCAATCGAAGGGTGCTTCGGTGAATCTGAAGAGTTCTTCGAAAGACTTCCATATCAGAATCGAGAGATGACATTTCGTCGCTAAAAAAGCATCTTCGTCCTCGGAGGGCCAATTTGGAGGGTTGCATGTTATCTTTAGCTCTTCGAGGCGTTTGGGCCACCGCACAAGTGCTTCAAGGGAGTATGCGAAGAAGTCAAATCGGCGGACAATGAGTTTTGTAAACGGGGCTAATCCTGCCTTTTGCTACAATGTTCTTTTAGTACGTGAACGAAATTGGAAATGAGAAACCCGTACCTGGAGGTAGTTCATCAAAGAACTTCCCCCTTGTCGAATGAAAAACGATGCGAAACAAAGATATGAGCGTTACGTCCAATATACACCAGCCACGGAGCCCTTTCCTGTGTCTTTTTTAAAACATGTAAGTCATGCATTGTCTCGCCGACCAAAAAGCTAATGATGGACAGGAAACCGTTGACAGCGCACCAAAGTGAGTCCGAACCAGCACTCCGTCAGTGCTCCGCGCAAAGTCATGGCTTACACACCAATTCTTACCCTGTCACTTCAAACCATGCAGCATGTCTTGAAATTCTGCAAACCAGGGCTTACGCCGCAAGACCTCCGTTCACATTGTGGTCTCGAAGTTTCTTCTCTTCATTCCGATTGGGTAGTATGTGCCGAACATCATGAAGGCACCTGTCGTGACTGTACATTCATTACCTGTGGGGATTGACTTCCAAAATGGAGAATTCCGTTTACTAACACTCCCGTTGATGTCAATTGAGCTCAGGGCATCCAAACCAGGGAATAGAACGCGAAACTTACAGGGATCGCGGCCAATCAAGGCACAGGACCAGGAAGGCAAGGGACCGCAAGGTATGATTCGCGAGGAACGTTCCATTGCTGTTAATAGTCCGCGGAGGAAAAGACTACTGGAATAAAAATGATACTCGGTTCAGAGTTCTTATGGCTTGATTTCTTGTTTTTGGCGTTTCCGTCTATATATTTCTCACATTGCTCTTTCCATTCACACGTCGTTGAGGCTCAAAAAGATTGCTTTCCTCTTGTGGCCCTCCCTCTCTTCATCGCAAACGTGGAGCGGCAAAGTGTCCTTAGAAAGGAACAGAGGCAGAGTCTTAGATGATATGCACCTGTTCCGTCCCGTCATTTATGTATTTTACTTTCTTCATATAGTAGCCACCTAGGGCAGCACTTACTCGGCCCTTAGCATAAGGGTCAAGTAGCTAAGCATTTTGCTACTCTTTAAAAATCACACTCGTTTTATCATTAAACTGTCTACCTACACGGTTATAGTATTAGCTCACATAATGTGCCCAATAGGGCCACCACACTGCCTCGATGCAAACGAACTAGAACACTTGAGACAGCGAGGCCTGAAATAAGAAGCAAGTAGTGACGAGCGCGTCAAAACATAATTAAGCAATAACCAATGTCCCTCTGCCGCTCACCCCTTTCCGAAAATTCGTTTCCAACGCTGCTTTTTACCACCCTGGCAAATTCGTTCCCACCATTGCTTTCTACTACCCTGGCACTGTGTTGTCTCCCCGTTTGGTTTCTCCCCTTTAGGCCTTGCTGGGGTTTCTCCGCCAGTGGCAGCAAAAAAGAAAGCCTCCGTCATCTGGATGACACAGGCCGGGTTGTTGTCATACAGTTTCTTTTTGAGATCATCCACAAGGCCTTGTCTGTCTTCCGCGGTGTACTCGAAGCCTCGTTCACTTGAACAGCACCCGCACGTTGGCGTACAGTGCCCCATCCCCCCCTGCTTCTTTCTGTTGTCGTGGCGGACCTGACAGCATCCACAGCTTCGACTACAGCAACCACCTCGCTTCATGCAGTTCCGACTAGTTCTTTTCGGAGATACCAAATTGTATTTCGCCGTAGGGTATCGTAAGACCTTTGGTAGGCCCAATCGGAAGCAATGTTTCGGCAAGGTAAAGCTTGTACTCAGCCTCGCTATATTGCCGGAGTAGATTCGTGAGCTCCTCGTTATATCGTGATTCTTGATCTCCATATTCGTCGGCTACTATCTTTCTTAAATCTCGAACCTTGCTCTTTAGAGATTGTTCTTGTTGGACATTTCCCGGAGAAGATATTCGGCAATTATTACATGCACAAAGACGGCGATATCGAAAAAGCGGCCATCATAATGGAGTATGCGTACCTGCTCTGTTTCATAATCTGGGACTTTTGCGTATCCTGCGTCGGGCGACAATCTTGTCCCATCGAACATATTGTGAACTCCCCATTTGATTGTCATGCCGACAGTTTCGGAAAAGTTAAGGTTGGGAGGATTGCAGAATGAAAAAGAAAGAGAATATGCAATGAAACCTTGGAAAGCCCTTGCATATGTAGTCATGCATGACGATGGATGAGAAGACAACAGCCGCTCCCAAATCGGGCCTAGCCCAAAGCCTCATCCTACTAGTCCCTATAACTACATGTACGTACCTAGGTAGATAGAAATGTCCTCTGTGCAGTTTATGCTTTTACCGCCGCGCATACATCTAGAAAGACGAAAAAGGAACATCCAAAAACATGTACCTATAAGTCCCTAATAGGTACTTATCATTTTGGGCAAAACAGATCATATTACTGAAGTCTTACATTGTCATGGATAGGTGGGCAAAGGCCGCATCAGTGGATGACAAAATGACAGATCACTCCCGTCTAACAACCCCATCATCTGCTGATTAAAAGAAATCCACCTCCCAAGCCAAGGTTCCTGCCAGTCACTTCCCTCATCTCGATCTTGTTCAATGACACCCACACCTGAGAAAGCCGATGTCAACCCATTTCCCTGCAGATTCTGAGAGGTATATGCCAGGTGTGGCTGCAGTCCAAGAGCGCACAAATGCGCATCCACTTCGCTCCTCAGTTGTATCTGTTCTTCCTCCATTGCAGAAGATGGGAAACCTAGCTCTGTGTAGCGTACTGCGACGTTGTACAATACCGAGAATAGATGATGGTGCTTCGCGATTGTACTGGAATGCTGACAGGCGCATTCGATCGATTTGAGGAATGTGTGCATTTGGCTTAGGTCTTCTTTGTCTCGTGTCTCGATACAATGGCAGAATAGAACAATGAACGGCGTGAATGGTGTAAATATAATTGTCCTGGGAATCAGCATGAGTATTGAATACGGGCCTTTGTGACAAGAGGCTAAAAATAGCCCACTATGTTTACACATACCAATTAACATATACCGATAGAAGTAACGATGATTCGTGCATTTCAAATCCCCGGACTATTGCCTGGTGGGCTTCCAGAGCACATCTAGCAGAGGTGATGCACTCTGGGCCAAATGTCGTTCTGGATCCAGGATCCGGTGGCATGGCTCGATAGATGAGAGTTAGAATTGAAAGGCGCAGAACTTCGTCGGATGCAGCTATGAATTGGATCTGCTGCTTTTCGTGAACGTTGCTAGTTGCTTGAGCCCAGAGTTGCTAAATTATATAGTTTGCGCTGGTCAGCAGATGCTCTGTAGGTACAAACATTGAATGCGCAAGCGCGCGGGCGGATTGGACACACATTCGCATCGCGCGCCTCTGCATGGTATTCGTGAAGCTTCATTGACAATTCAAGTGCTCGGTGTGTCCGCACATCTCCAGACGCACCGAGCGCCTTTGGTGAATAGAGCTGTTCGTAAATACTGCCAGCTAACCCTGCAAGCCTCACTATTTGATACGCATAGGCAGTGACGTGGGGGTTGGGCGTTTGCAGATCTTCTGGTAAAGGACTCTCGATATCGCGATCAAGGATAAAAGAGGAGCGGCCCAGCCGGACAGATAAAGTCTTCTCGAAGAAGTAGATCATCCAGAAGAGAAATTGCTTCTGCTTTGGCTCGTCGAAGCCATTCAAGCGCTCGTGAAATCCAAGAGAATAAGAGCACTGGTATGCCGCGTTTGCCAATACCCCAGCCAGGGACGGGTTGCAGACGTGGATCGCGTAGATAACCTTGAGTTTCGATGTCAGCAAGTTTCCGCAAAGGGCATGCTGAACATACACCTAGCACAAGAGCGAGAGTCATGTCATAGCTAGGCTGGATATAAAGTGTCAATTTTGAAAGCGCGATCTCAACATTCTTTTGGCACATTGAGCCTAGAGTGTTCTGTTCATCATTGTATTCCACGCCAGTCCTCCGGATATCAGTACCGGAGGCCAAATCTAAAAGCAAGATTAGTGCATTTCAATCAAAGGAGAATATATTGACTCACGATGTAGAGCTGCATTGACAATGATAAAGTCTGTATCAGAGAAGTCCGAGTCAAAGTAAACCTTCAAGCATATATCTGACAGATTTCGTGGACTCAGCAAGAAGGACAAGCTAAGGAAAAAGAAATTCCTTTCGTCTGAACGCGAGGCATCAGTATTGCCAACAGACCAACGTGGGAGACATACCCTGTGATTTCCGCAAAAGCTTGACAACAGCTTTCAGAGGGGGCATTTGATACTCCTCCAAAGAAGCTGGTGCTGTTATAAGGGGGAATAAATGCATCGACGAATCCTGGCGCCCGCTAAATGTAGTTCCAATTTGGCGCAGCATGCCTAGTAGTGTTTCAATCTCTTGATTACTACCTTTAGGTTGGCTCGAGCCAACAACCGCGTGCGCGAGACCAATAGCAAATGTAGAATGCGCCGTGAATGAAGATTGGCCCAGCATGGCATCGTTCGTGGCTTCATGCAGTATCTTCTGATCGGGCCCGTCTGCATTGAGTGGGCTTGCAGATGTGGTTTGCGATGGCCTGGGGCGAGGAACAGCACATGTTTCTGGGCGGCTGGAGGATGTATCAATTGTCGCTCTCACTGGATTATTTGCGAGCAGTGATTCAACGAGGTGGTTTAGTCGACTGAGCCGTTTGTCGATTTGATCAATCTTGTCCTCGCTGTAAAATTTCGTGAGTATACGCCACAAAACCATTCGACTCAAAGAAGCCTACAATTGCGATGTTATCAAAACTCGCGAGCGCTTTTGCCTAGCAGGACGATTGGATGTTTTGCAGTCAGATCCTGTGGATCGGCAATTTGAACAGGGAAATGTCCTGTCGCAGCGGACCTAGACCAGTGAGCTATATATTGAAATATGAAACGTAGATATCACCTTTCGCTTCCGACATCGATCACACTGGAACCGGTCAGTTGATGATTTATGACTTGGTGATTTAGGCCTACCGCTCGTTCCACGGAGATATCATTTCCGGAAAGCTCTTCTGCCATATTGAAATGGACACAAAAGGATTCAACCTAATCAAAATATAAAAATAGGCTTTAGCATGAGTAGAAACAAAGGTCTCGGAGCCCGCGGACACCCGAACTTAACCTCCGCCGCCCGGGTTGCGGAACTCCGCAACCCGAGCCCTCCAAGACTGGTTGGGAGCCCACGGAGCATTGGCTTGGATTCTTGGCTTGGACTCTTGGCTTGATTGCACTAGGCCCGCCTCTGGCACTACTGTTTTAGGCCCGCCCCGCTATCGATGATAGCACTAAGCAATCCTTTAGCAGGAGCGCCAAGACTACCGGAGCCCGCGGGGTCCGGTGAGCCCCAAACACCGTCCTACGAGGCCTCCTCTGCCAGTGCTTCCATAACCAGTACACGTACTGGTAAAAGGGGTTCCAGTCCTATCCTCGGTGATTTCGCTGGCCGAAATTCCGTCTGTGGGTCTCGCCGAAGGGTCTCGAGTCTGCATTTGTTAGGAGTATGAAGCTTGGTATAAATAATCCATTTTCGGTCGCTTCTTGCTTTTTACTCAAACTCTGCCTTCGCCTTTACATACAACCTGAAATTCATCAGCTGTCCTGTAAATCCAGGGCCTAGCAAGATGGACCCTGCGACTCCTGACTCCCCCACACGGGACCAAGACGAGATCAGTTCGGAAAGTCGAACACGGGCAAATAGCCTCGAATCTGATTTTGAGGATAAGGGGCCATTCAAGGGTAACCGAATCAACAGCGATGAAAGAGTGATGAACCTGGCTCGCACACTGAGCGAGCGGTCGAAGAAGTCCTATCACGAACTCCCCTTCGAACTGAGAACAGGCAGTGCTATCGACCCGCAAAGTGCTCGGTTCAACGCCAGAGCCTGGGCAGCGGCTTTCTACAATGTCCGATACAATGCAAATGATGGTCCTCCTGCGCGTGTCGCCGGTCTTGCTTTCAATAACCTGAACGTTGTCGGTTATGGGAGTCCGGTGGATTATCAGATGAGCGTCGGAAACGCGGTGTTGAAGCTGCCGACCCTCGCGCAACAGTGGTTTGGTGGGAAGAAACGGAGAATCAACATCCTTCAAAACGTTGATGGATTGCTGCTTCCCGGCGAACAGCTGTGCGTTTTGGGCCCCCCTGGCTCGGGCTGCTCAACCCTCTTGAAGACCATCGCAGGGGAGACCCACGGGTTTGAGGTAGACCCCGCGTCCTACATCAATTACCAAGGCATCACCCCGAAGCAAATGTCGAACGACTTTCGCGGCGAGGCCATCTATACTGCGGAAGTGGATGCACACTATCCTCAGCTCGCGGTGGGTGACACCCTTTACTTCGCCGCCCTTGCCCGTACCCCCCGGGAGATCCCTGGGGGAATGAGCCGTGAAGAGTACGCCGCTCACCTACGAGATGTTATCATGTCTACCTTTGGCATCAGCCACACCATGAACACCAAAGTCGGGAATGACTTCATTCGCGGTGTCAGCGGAGGCGAGAGGAAGCGAGTCACCATTGCTGAGGCGGCATTAAGCTATGCTCCTTTGCAGTGCTGGGACAACAGTACTCGGGGCCTGGATAGCGCGAATGCCGTCGAGTTCTGCAGGACCTTACGGACACAAGGGGATATTTTCGGCTTGACTTCGTGTGTCGCCATCTATCAAGCTCCCCAGGCAGCTTACGAGGTGAGCACAATACAAGACAAAGTGCGGGACTTGCTGAGCTGTATTGACATATCTGCTAGATTTTTGATAAAGTCACGGTTCTCTACGAAGGGAAGCAGATTTATTTTGGCCCTGCCCGAGAAGCCAGAGGATATTTCACTCGACTAGGATTTGTATGCCCCGAGGCTCAGACGACGCCTGACTTTCTGACCTCAATGTCGAGCCCTGACGAGCGAGTCATTAAGCCAGGCTTTGAGAACCTAGTGCCCAGAACCTCAGAAGATTTTGCACAGCGATGGGAAAAGAGTCCTGAGCGCCAGGCACTTCTGCTCGAGATCAAGGATTACGCCGATAAGCACCCATTCAATGCGACGGACTTCGACCGCTTTGCGTCTTCTCGGGAAGCCGAGAAATCAAGCAAGCAACGGCTAAAATCTCCATATACTTTGTCCTATTTGGGTCAGATTCGCATCTGCTTATGGCGGGACTTTCAACGGCTCAAGAACGATCCCAGCGTGACCCTCGCCATGTTGATTGGAAACTTCTTTGAGGCTCTGATCATTGCCAGCGTGTTCTACAACCTTGCCGAGGATACGTCCTCGTTCTTCTCCCGGGGAGCTCTCCTATTCATGATGGTCCTCCTAAATGCATTCTCCAGCTTGCTTGAAATCCTCGTTTTGTACGAGAAACGAACAATTGTGGAAAAACACGCGCGATATGCACTCTATCACCCCAGCGCCGAAGCCATCTCGTCGATGATCATGGACATGCCGTATAAGATAACAAACTCGCTGCTCACCAATCTCGTGCTATACTTCATGTCGAATCTACGAAGGGAACCTGGCCCATTCTTCTTTCTCTTGCTGGTGTCCTTTTCCATGATGATGGGCATGTCAATGTTCTTTCGCTTCTTCGCCTCGTTGACGAAATCAATCGAACAGGCTCTTGCCCCCTCGTCCATTATCTTGCTTGCTCTGGTGCTTTATACGGGATTTGCAATTCCCGTCAGCTATATGCGTGGCTGGGCATCGTGGTTGCGATGGCTGAATCCGGTTTCGTATGGATTTGAAGCCGTGATGGTCAATGAATTCCATGGACGAGAGTTCCCCTGCACTTCATTTGTTCCGTCCGGACCAGGATACGAGAATGTATCGAGCGAACAAAAGGTTTGTTCGACAATAGGAGCGGTTCCGGGCTCAGATGTCGTTCGAGGTACAGACTTTGTCCGCTCCTCATTTGGATATGAGAACAGCCATCGCTGGCGGAATCTCGGGATTATCATCGCCCTCACTATTTTCCTCGCAGCCTGCCACTTGATTACGTCCGAGCTGGTATCTTCTCAGCGTTCCAAGGGCGAGGTTCTCGTCTTCCGCCGCGGTAAAGCCCAGCAAGCCCGATCGAAGCGATATCAGAGCGATGAGGAGCAAAATTCAACCCCCGTGGTACAGAACGAGAAGCCCGCCAACGATGGGACTGGAACTATTGCCGGGGTTGAGAAGCAAACTTCAATTTTTCACTGGGAAAGTGTCACGTACAGTGTTCAGATCAAAGGCGAGGAGAGACGTATTCTGGATCATGTTGATGGATGGATCCGGCCAGGGACATTGACAGCACTCATGGTAGCCTAATCCCATCCCACCTGCATAAGCTGCAGCGCAGACTAACAATGGTATTACAGGGTGTCTCCGGTGCGGGTAAGACCACCTTATTGGACGTATTGGCGAGTCGTACGACTGTCGGGGTTGTCGGAGGAGACATGCTTGTCGATGGTCGACCCCGGGATGAGACTTTCCAACGCAAAACCGGCTATGTCCAACAGCAGGATCTGCACCTTCACACGACGACCGTCCGGGAAGCGCTGGAATTCAGTGCCTTGTTGAGACAGCCGCCTCAGTTCAACCGTGCCGAAAAGTTGGCTTACGTGGAGACAGTCATCGATCTTTTGAACATGAGGGAATACGCCGATGCGATAGTCGGAGTTCCAGGCGAGGGCCTCAACGTCGAACAGAGAAAACGCCTCACGATCGGCGTCGAACTGGCTGCGCGTCCCAAGCTGTTACTATTTCTCGATGAGCCTACCTCTGGCTTAGATAGCCAAACCTCTTGGTCGATTTGCAACCTTATGGAAACTCTGACGAAGAACGGACAGGCGATTCTTTGCACAATTCACCAACCGTCTGCCATGTTATTCCAGCGCTTTGACAGACTCCTTTTACTCGCCAAAGGGGGTAAAACAGTATATTTCGGTGATGTTGGTCAAGGAGCAAAAACCCTAATGGATTATTTTGTCCGCAATGGCGGCTCTATTTGCCCTTCAGGTCACAATCCAGCAGAACACATGCTTCAGGTCATCGGAGCTGCACCCGGGGCACAGACAGATATTGACTGGCCTGCTGTGTGGAGAAACAGTCCTGAATACCTGGGAGTACGAAGTGAACTTGCTAAACTGCGGGAATTGGCCAACATGTCGCCAGTATCGGATCCAGATGATAGATCTACTTATGCGGAATTCGCAGCGCCTTTCTTTGAGCAGCTCATCCATGTCGGACGTCGTGTATTCCAGCAGTACTGGCGAACCCCATCCTACATCTATTCCAAAGCCTTGCTGACCATTGGCTGCGTAAGTCTTTGTTTGCCTGCTCAATAGTTGATGAGGTCTAATTTATATTTTACCAGGCTCTCTTTATTGGATTCTCTCTGTTCAAGGCGGAAAATACCAAGCAGGGTCTACAGAACCAGTTGTTTGGTGTCTTTGTCTTTCTGTTTGTGATCGTCCAACTTGTCCTCCAGATCATCCCATCGTTCGTCACACAGCGCACGCTCTACGAGTCCCGGGAACGGCAGTCGAAGACTTATGTGTGGCAAGCCTTCATTTTGTCCAATATCGCCATCGAGTTCTTTTGGAATACGGTTAGTCTTGCCCATGTCCTAGTTGACTTCTCTCTCTCGCTAATGCGTTAACTTCTATAAGATAATGGCAATCTTTTGCTTCCTCGTCTGGTACTACCCCGTCGGCTTTTACCGGAATGCCGAGTATACAGACGCGGTCCATTCTCGGGGTACCCAGACAATTCTGGTTATTTGGGCGGCCTTCCTCTTCGCCAGTTCATTCGCACACATGTTGATTGCGGGCATGGATAGTCCAGAGATTGCATCGAGCTTGTCCAATATCATGTTCATCATGATGTACGTCTTCTGTGGCATACTCGCCGGTCCTGATTCTCTGTCACGCTTCTGGATATTCATGTACCGGGTCAATCCCTTGACATATCTGGTGTCGTCATTCTTGTCTGGATCAGTCGGTGAGGCCCCTATGCATTGTGCCGACAACGAGGTGTTATCATTCGCAGCCCCAGCTGGAATGACCTGTCAGGAGTATATGCAAGATTATATCTCTGCGAACTCGGGATATTTGCTGAACCCCGGCGCCCAGGGCAATTGCAATTTCTGCACTATGGAGAACACCAAAGAGTATTTAGAGAGTCTCAACATCCAATTCGGTAATCGATGGCGGGACTTTGGTTTCCTGTGGGTTTACATTGTTGTCAACACCATCGGAGCCATTGTCTTCTACAAGATTTTCCGCGTGCCGAGGAGTAAGAAAGGCATGAAGGGATAGTGGACATGCTAATTTTTGGTTATTTCGTTCGTGTTCTTCTGAGTTATCGCTCATGTACGCTTAATTTATTTCTCTGTCTCCTTTTTTTTTCTTGACTGTCTTTAATCTTGCCAATCCCTTTTTTCTAAGAGACATTGATAGGTCGTGGTTGATTTACAGCATCGAAATCTCTTCCATTTCGATTGTGCTTTGTTGAATAAAAGCGTTTCAAATGTGTTGGATGATCCCATCTCCCATGGATGCATGGATGCCTGGTTTTTCAGACTGAGCCTTTCTAGTTTGCTCTTTGTGGCCGTTATAAAAAGCCTTTCTTTTGATAGATTGAATGCAGCGGCTTCTTCTTCCTGATTTTCCTCACCATTAGTAGCTCAGCTCCCGTAGCCTCAACAAAAGGTTATATTTAGAAAATTCGCTTTCACAAGTTAAGCCTTTTTGGCCCTTTTCTGCTCTCTCTGCCCAAAAAATGAGAAGGGGAGAAAATATCTATATAACCAGATATCTAAAAGGATTACCTGAGGAGACTCCCAAAAAAGACTAATAACAACAGTTTCTTCCTTCTCTATCTCCCCAGTGCATGCCCGGGTGATAGCCTATGTATAACCTCCCGAGGTCCAACAGAAAGAATATCTATCGTGCCTACCCTATAGAGGTGGATGGGTAACTTCCTCAGCACCTTCCTCGTAATGTTTTAAGGTTACTTTTCAAAATACTGGTCTTCTACCACATTCTTACCCCTAAATCCATCCATAACCTGGAATCTGGTAACTCAGGTAAGGTAAGATCCTTCTCTTATTTTGGGAAATTCCTATTACCTACGATACTATACAGCAAAAGCTATCACCAGGGACTTTGCTGTAGGTTTCGGCTAACCTCGTGGGCATCGCAATAGAAAAACGATTCTGATACCAATGATCAATGGCTGGGAATGACGTATCAAGAGAAAAACCGTCCACCCAGCTGGGGCACAAGACATGGATCTTATGGATAGAATCTTCGAAGGCCCACACTGACGGATTCACACGATGGTTCAGGCCTGCGCACCATAACTGACCGTCACATGCCTCCACTGCGCTGAGCGTTTTACTTCAAACAACAAGCCATATGCTCACCTTATTTTCTTTTTTGTGATGATTATATTCGATGCCCACTTTACCTGCTCTAGTGAATGTTATTATGCTGTTACGCGTATATACCTTTTCCACTGCCTATTTTCTGCGTTTTGCGGATAATTCTCCTTATCCTTTTAGCTATAACCATTAAAGGGAATATCTAAAACCAAGCCATCCAAAAAGACATCCCACTATTCTTTTCGAATCTCCAATGGTCGACTTCGCCTCCGGAGTATAGGTCCAGCCCCGGGTTCTAGCTGACCGGGACTAGAAAAAAGCTGAGGGGGACTAGGAAAAAAAAAGCTTACGTAATTTCTAGTCCGCTCAGCTTTTTCTCATCGGATTATTTAAAGTTGAACCCCCCGGTTAGGAACTATATTCAGCCTCTCTTTCAAGGATTATAAGGGTGTATTATAGCTATCTTTACTACCTTTATAGTATATTTAATAAGAGAAACTATATAAAGGAGATATATATTTTATTAATTTTAATATAATATTAAAGAAAAGGGTCAAAATTAATATATTTGTAGTTTTACTTTTTGTATAGAATTTTGATATATATATCTATATAAGCACCTCTGAAACACCATCTTAAAAGCGTCTTTATACACGAAGATATATCTAAAATTAGTCATGTTCTCTTTCTATATAAGCACGTTATTCTACGTGATCTAAAATCATCCTATATTTGTTTATTTGTCTATAAATGTACCTGGCTTGCCTTCTAAAATCTTCACTTCTCTATCACTCGTTTACATTTTCCTCCTAATATAAGTTTAACGTATCTTTTACGTATCTATACTTTATTCGTGACTTTAAAGATGGCCAACTTCTCTGTCTACCTAGGATTGGGTCTGCAGATCGCCGACTTCGTGAACCCGTAGGTCCTCGGAACGACTAACCCTGATGCCGTGTTCGGATTTACGTATGGTAAGTGTATACATGAAGAACTCTAAGCATATGCTAAGCATATCTAGGACCAATCCCTGACCTGAACCCTGGCTGGAAGCCCGCTATATACCTTAACGCTATTGCTGCTGGGCAACGCCTATACGATATTAAGCAGCTGATGTCGCGGGGGCTAATGGGCCACTAGTGCTACCACACTCTATAAGCAAAGTTAATGGAGGCGTGTAAGCCATTGCTGATGATACGTCATGTATATGCTAATAATAATAGATGCTGGGTCGCTGTAAATGGACAGTAAATGTACGGCATGCTGTTTAGCGATGGGCCTGCTCTCTGTCGCCATGCCCGTAACGCGTACTCTGGTGCCTGTAAGTGCCTGCTGATCATACGCTAAATATATGCTAACAATACTAATGCTGAATCCTGACCGCTCTGCTGTCTCCCAGCCTGAGCGTATTTACCGTTGGAACACTATACAAGAGGGCGTTAATCTCAGTTTGAATTTGTGCTTCTACTAAGGATCCGATGGAAGAATCAATATCTGCTTCTAGAACTGGATTCTGAAGCGATGGATCATCATTTAATCGCCCATTGAGGCGCGATCGAGGATATCAGCCTGTATAGAGACAGGATCCATGGTTGAGTTAGGGCTTGGTGGTATGTAAAATAGTATTAGGATGACGGGGATTTGAAAATTCTGCAAGGGAAGAATAATATTATATAATCATGAATTTCTAGTCCCCCCAGGTCAGGGAGCTGAGCGGGACTAGAAATTAATAAGCAAATTCTCTAGTCCCGCTCAGCTTATTTCTAGTCCCGCTCAGCTGGGTGCGCAGCTGTACGTAGATGATGGATCCGATCTGAGAAGGGCTTACATAAGAATGTGTCTCCGGGTCCACCTAGGCAGGACCGAGGTCGGCCCTGAGTGCATCCAGGATAGGTAATTTCGTGACCTCACTTGGTGAGGTTAAAAAAAAGCGTACTCAAGGGATCGACCGTCCAATTCATTATATCACCGTGATCTTCTAGCACATTTATTTCAACGCGTACAAGCCAGAGCCACAATTGCTTATCCCACACATTTCCGATTTGAACAGCTCAAAAGCCGCAAATCACTCAACACTCCGTTTTATGCAAGTTCTTTGATATTGGAAGACTCGTACGTCTGTACTGAACAAAATGGCCTTTAAGGAACCATCCATTTTACCGGTGGATATCATGGAGGCCCAATTGTCCACGATTGACCTCCTAATGGCGATGTTCCCGTCCCCGGGCGAGCTGGAAATCCCTGAATCCACAACGCAATGTGTCGAGAGACTCCGCGACTGGTGCGAGAATCCGACCTCTACGCCTCCTAAAATCCCTTCGAGTCTCTCTCTCACCGTCTGTTTACCAATTGCATATGGAGACAGAACAGTACAAGTCAACCTTTCCGTGCCCCTGCAATGTGATAATCCAGAGACACTTGAGCAGTCACCATTATTGGGATATTCCCTTCGACAACCAGAATGGATGTCCAGAGCCGAAGTTGCTGGACTTACTGCCTCAATACCGCGAGGCGACGATGCTTTAGAGGCATTCGAATACATTCAAGCGGAAGCCAGCCGCTTTCTTGAAAACAAGCAGTCTGAAACCGTGGCTCCAGAAGACACAGATAGAGGGCCAACTGTCCGAGTTTGGTTCTATTTCCCATCCCTGTCAACTCGTAAAAAAAGGGATGATATGGTCAAACTCGCACCGGGATATGCGCTGACGGGCTTTGTGCTGGCGGGAAAGCCGGGTGTATTGTGTCTTGAGGGTGCGTCGCCTGATATTGACTCTTATATGAGTTTCATCAAGACGCATTCCTGGGGTGATATTCCTAGTCACCAGAAAAAAGTCAGTGAGAGGTTTCGAGAGACAGAGGGTGTTCAGAGAGTGTTTTCGGGGATGGAGGAAATTACGGATTCGCTAGGAGAGCGAGGTGGCCAGCGGGCTAATCGGGGTGATATGCAAGCGCTGGAGGCGTGGCTAGGGAGTAGAGGATTACAGGCAGCATTTGAAAAAGTCATATTCTAGGTGGTCATGTGGTCTGCCCTGCATTCTGCATGTCTGCTTGATAGCTCTAGGGAGGTTTCCTTTCAATCTCAAGGGCATATCAAGCCAGTGTCTCTGTCTCATCCGATGATACCTAGTTACACTCAGTGTATACTAGTGATAAGCCCCTCCTTTAACTCTTTTACGACTCACCTATCGGTGTTGTGTCTGTTACGCATAGGTGAGGTCTATAGCAGCATGCTGGATGATGGGAATCTTTTGTGTAAGAAATCAGACTCTTGAGACCTTAGTTAAATATCCCTGTAGTTGAGTTCCCTCATAGCAATCTAATCATCTTTATTCTCTCTTTCTACCTACTTACCTACCTACGTATTTCCAGGTTCTACAGAGGCAAATACATAGTTCGAACACTGCCACGAGCAAATAGATTCAAGATATTAACTACATTGATCCTTGCACTAACAAAATGAAAGCATTGGTTAGTTCTTTTAGCACGAAGGGACTAAACAGTTCCTAGGTTCGAGGAAAATCCATAATAGCAATGCTTGCGGCATCAGATATGCGAGGGTTCATAGTGACATATTAGAGAAGAAAAGAAAAAATTGTTTTTAAATAAAAATTGAATCTGTATGGTTTATTCGGTTTATTCCACAAATGAAAGGCTCTATATAGTCCGTATGTACTGGGCGCGATAAACGTTTCCTGCCGATGCATAGATACCAGATACATCATTGATGATTTTGATACATGGGTCACAAAAATCCACAACGCCTGCATATGCCACATGTCTGCAACCTAGGGCTATTCGTCAAAATGGGTTACCTATTCTTTCTTCGTCTCCTTCGGCTCCGATGACTTCGGTGCTTGGGTGGGTTTCTTCGCCCCAGGAGGGGTTGAAGCGGCTGCAATCTGAGATTTCTTGTGCTTCTCGCGTTTCTCCCTAATATACGTCCAACTTTTACCAAGGCCTGCCGTGAACGGTGCCTTAATCGTCTGCACAGTACTTGGCCAGCGAATTGTCTTCTCAATGGACTTGGAGACTTCCTCCTGAAGGTAACCATCTCCAGCGATCCGTCGCTCAAACGAACCGCCTTGAGGCCGGCGAAGAACCTCGTCCGAATCCTTGCTCTCCTGCATCATCTTATTGAAATCGGCGCCGGGAATCCCAAAGCGAGATTGGTACTGGAAGTACAACTTTTGCCGGAAGGATTCAGGCAGACGACGAACCATATTACCACGCATCACTGGATCCATATCTTGCGCCATGGCTAAGATGGCGTTCGGATCATCGATCCAATCCTCGTTGCTGCAGCGGGAGTCCTGGAAAGTGACATTGGGCAGATTTTCAATGAGTGGTGCGTAGAGGCGGCGGAAGTGCGCCATTTGTCCAGAAACAATATTTCGCACCTTGCCGGGGTCCTCGGCGGGGAGGGCCATTCGTAGATCTCCCATATAGCTCATACCTGCGATTGTGCTGTATAGCTCGAACTCACTGAAGTTTTCGGGCAGTAACAGCAGTGCGACTCGCAAAGCAGACAGCAAGTTCATTTGGTTGGCCAATCGCACCTTCGGGTGGTCCCGCAGGATCTTGACGGGTTTCTGCAGACGACCGGCGAGATACATGGTGTCCCACTGAGTGAGGTCCCGGCATAACGTATCCAGGTTCACCACGCCATATTTGATCATTGTCCCATTCACGGTGATATAAGGATGGAAGTAGACACCCGCCCCGAATCGGTCTTGTACTTGGGAGACTGTGTACGACCCCAGTGAGCCCAATCCAGAATAATGATCACGATGCTGGTGTAGATTGATATCATGCCAGTGCTGGGAGTATGAGACTCCGAAAATGAAATCAATCATCTTCCCGGAGCCCTTTTGCATATTTTGGATGGCTGTGGGTGCCGAGGGGTGGAGAGAGCTGGACGGAGCTCCGCTTCCATTTTGCGGAAATACACCCGATCCATAAGCAAATGCGTATCGAATTGGTGCTTTGAACTGCCAAAGGATCATTCGCAATGCCTCCTTGAAATCCTGGTTTATAATCATGTGCTGGTTGACTCCGAAGTCCTTCGAGGGGAGTTCCGAGAAATTGGTAATTGACAAGTTCGGATTTTCGTCCCAGTTGTCGGGTAACAGCGAAGACGAAGACGTCGAGAATGAGGAGGATGATGATTTGTTGGTGTTCACCTTGCATAACAGATGCGATGTCGAAGCGCTGTTATTTGCCGAGGGTCGGCCATTGCAGGGAGTAATCGAACGACAATTGAATGACAGTAAACGAGCCGAAGAAGGAATAACATGTGGGGACGAGAGAAGGGTGCGAGAGCGCCAGAGAGAGCTGGGGTTAGCTCCTCGAGAAGCAACCATCTAGCAGATAAGTTGTAGCGGGATCATCGGGTACAGTGGGGGATCTGACATACTGTTACTCCCGGCATGATTAGGGTTCGGACAAAGGGAATCGGGGCGCGTGGCGCAGTAATTGAGTCAGGTCAAAGGGCCCGCATAGAAAGCAAATGAGTGAATTGAAGTGAAGTGAATTTGGGCGCTCCGTCAACATTTCCGGCTCTGACGTACTCCCTGTCGGGTTCTAATTCGGGTGCTGAGTAAGGGTCACGTGGACGCGTGTGCAAGGGTGCATAACAACCAAAAGTAAACAGACGCGGAGGATCAACAACAACGGCTCTTTTCGACAATATTCACCTACTTCCTCCACGAATGTCTCTTTACATGTCGGGAACTAGTATTAGTTATCTTTAATTTCCCTGATACCTCGCCATGGGCTCTGAAATGGATACCTTTGCGGCCCGCCTAGCCAGCTTTGATATAGTGCTGAAGCCGGAGAAGCGCAGATCTTCCGGCACAAAAACACCCAAAGCGATTACATGGCCGCACCAGCGACCTTCACCAGCTGAGGTACGTATCTCCTCGGAGAGATTATACGAGCCCATTCAAGGTGACTGACTTCGTGGGACGTTAGTTGGCACACGCCGGATTCTACTACAAACCATACGAGACGAATCCCGACAACACAACATGTTTCGGGTGCCACCGGGCGCTGGATGGCTGGGAGGAGGACGACAACCCAATCACGGAGCATCTCAAGCATGCGCCTGACTGTGGATGGGCCATCATGATGGACCTCCAGCAGAGCAGCTCCAACCCCGCCTCGATTGAAGACCCTACAGGCGACAGGATTACGCAAGCGAGACTGTCAACATTTGGTGGGGCATGGCCTCACGATGGGAAAAAGGGCTGGGTATGCCAGTCAGAGAAGGTAAGGCGTGAATTCACCAAATTCATATTGTTTTGGCTCACAACGACGATAGATGGTTGAAGCCGGATGGTATTTCTGCCCTACAGACGAGAGTAATGACTTAGCCAGTTGTGTCTATTGCAAGTTGTCTTTGGATGGCTGGGAGCCCAAGGACGACCCATTGTGGGTATTCATCGTTCTTTCCCAGTTGGACAGTTGCTAACTTAACCCAGTGACGAACACTATCGCCGCTCCTCAGATTGTTCATTCTTTGTCTTTGCCCAGCCGCCAGGGAAGAAAAGCAAATCTAGTCGTGCTAAGAAGCCTCGGGTTTCCAAGGCGTCCTCGCGGCTTTCAGACCAATCTGTTGGCCCAGTCACATCCGAAGTGCCCGATATGGAAATGGATGACTCGATGGACCAGAGCATCATGTCCCAAGCCACCACAAAATCCAAAGCTACAAAGAAGGCACCCAAGAGCAAATCAAAGGTGACCAAGACTAAGAAGGAAGAATCAGCGGAGGTGGAAAGCCAAGTTAATGCCGACATTGAAGGAGTCGCCCAACCAGAGCCTACCAAACCCAAACGTGCAGGCAGGGGAAAGAAGAGGGCCAGTGAAGATATCAAGGATGAACCCAAACCAGTTGCCATGGAGGAAAGAGAGGCATCGCAGCCGCCAGCAGAACCTCCAGCGAAGAGACGTGCTACAAAGACACGGAGCAGTAGCGTTGCTCGCGACTACAATTACGAAGACGGTGACTCCGCAATGGTGGACGCAGGGCCAGTGGATGGTGCTCTTTCGGAAGAAGAAACGAATAGAGGTCGCAAGCCCACGAGAAAGGGAGCGTCCAAGGCCCGCAAGGTCTCTGACGTGCCTGTTGCATCAAAAGCTACGTCAAAGGCACGAGCCCCTCGTGATCCAGAAATTGAGGCGGAAATTGAAGCAGGCCTCGAAGCAGATATCCCCAAACTTGCCGAACCCGAGCTTGAGATCAAGGCAGAGCCAGCAGAGCCACGGGCATCGAAGAAGACAAAAACGAGTAAAAAGTCCAAGGCTGTGGCTAAAATTCCAGAACCGACCACACATAACGAAGTAGAGGATGTCAGTGATCACGAAAACCATTCAGGTCCTCAGGTGGAACCGGTTAACGATGAACCGGAGGCACCTGGACCGCCAGCCCAAAAGACCAAGGCGGCAAAAGGATCCAAGAAAAAGGGGACAAAGAAGACCAAGACCGAGGAGACGGTAAAAGCACGGTCGCCTGAGCCTCTAGAATCTTTAGGACTCAGGGCTCCCGATGTTCGCGATGATCCCGAGCGTCATGACTCTTTCATCTCCGTCGAGATTGTCAGCAAGGAGCCTGAGAATGCACCGGAGCCGGAAGAGCCAATGGCCAAGGCTGAATCGAGGAAGATTTCCAAGAAGGCGGATGCCACATCAACTAAAGAGAAGTCCAAGAAATCCGAGAAGAAGACGGAGCAAGCTCTTGTTCATGAACCACCAGTCGAAGAACATCGTCCCGAACCGTCCGCCGGGGAACGGGATGATGAATTCGAGACTACGGATGATTTGCCTGACCAGCTTGAGATGGTCAACCCTCCCCGGGAGCCTCTTGCCCCTCCACAAGAAATTTCTCCCGAGCCACAATCCCATCGGAAGACGCCCAGTCTACCGCCAAAGACCGCCAAACGGTATAGCGATATCCCTCGCGAGGAGCATTTTGCAGAGACACTGGTCCAAAGCCAGACCTCCCCTCACGAAGTACATGAGTCTCGGCAGGATTCAAAACGCTCTGACCCGGCAGTTTCACCACTTCCGCCAGCTCACCAGAACACTCCCTCACTATCACCCCAGTCATCAGATGCCGAAAACCGGCCTCCGTCATCGCGGCCTTCAGCATCCCGCCCACCTGTTCATTCAACACCCAAGCATCCAGAGTTCCGAGCCCCTCTGGCAGTTAGTACCCCATCGCCATCCAAGCGCAACGCCAATGGTGGATTCGGACCTTCTGGCCACCCATGGACACCGGTGGATATTGATGAAGTGCTGTTTGGGGAGGCCAGCGACAAGGAAAACGCAGATCTATCTGGACTTTTCAAAGGCGTGAAAGCTGGCTTGACTAGCCCAGAGAAGAAGATGACAGTACAAGAATGGATCACGTGGAACGCAAGGAATGGTGAAGAGCGACTGAAGAGAGAATGTGAGCGACTTGTCGGCCAATTCGAGAAGGAAGGTGGCCGAGCAATGCAGCGGCTCGAAGCTATCGAGTGCATCGACTGAATAGTCATACTATGTTTTCGGATGATATGATTTGCATGTTAGGCGTTACGCTAGCTGTTGGGGAACCCTTGTTAGATTTTAGCCCGTAATTTGAATTTTGGAAGTGCAATTATTGCACATGAAACATGATCAGTAAAAAGAATGCCTTGAAAATATGCCACAAACACCATGGGTATCAAGAACAGCACGCGCACCCCGAGAACAACAACACTCAAGAAATGATTCCCAACCGGCCCTCCCAGCTATCATCCTCCTGCTTAACCTTGTCCTTCTTCCGCTTCTCATTGCGCTTGCGCCTCTTCTCCTCCCTCTCTTTAGCATCAATCTCCTCCCGCTCTTTAAGACGCGCCCCAAGATCAAGCTGCCAAGCCTTGCGCTCTTCCTCATCCCTCTGACGCTTCCGATGCGCAAGCATCCTCAACCGCAAGCGCACGTCCTCAACAGTCGCCCTCTTCACCTCGCCACTCTGCCCCGTCGCAATCAAATGCTGTTTGCTGTTCAAGTGCTCCACAAGCTGCAAGTTATCCTTGAAAGTAAGATCGCAGTCCTTGCAGTAAAATCCGGCGCCGAGGCCGCGCTTGCCCATCCCCGCGCCTGCGGGCACAATCATGGTCTTTCCCACCATAGACGCGACGTCTAGGCGCTGGCTGCGGGCTGTGGTATCCTCGAGCGTGCTGTAGTCGACTGGTGCGTGGTATTTCTTTCCCAGTAGCTTTGCTTCATAGCGGGCTTTGCCTTCGGCTTTGCGCTTTGCTTCATCGTCGGCTGCCTTTTTGGCGTATTCTTCACGGTCCCAGGTTTTGCGGAAGGCCGTGTCCGAGACCGGGGTGCCGTAGGCGTTTGGTCCTGACATATTTGTGATTGATGTGGAAGAGATGTAGTGGGAGGTTGGTGAGTGGCGATCTTTAAAAGTTGGAGCTTCCAAGTTGAGACCGATATTGAAGATTATGTCAGCGATCCTGATTTCCAAGGTTCCACCGGAGCTGGGCAAGGTTGGAATATAGCTCAATACATCTTGTCTTTATGCTAAGTGTTCCAAGGATTTTTATTATTGCTCAGAACATGTTTAGGAGAGAGAAATAATTATTATCTAGGGCTTGGTTCTCTCGCTTAGTGGGAGTACCTCCTTCCCTAAGGAGGGAAAAAAGACATAACAAAAGACATCTAAAAAAAACCCCTTTAAAGCAGTATAATGAATATCACAGGTCAAATAGATCAAATTCTAATATTAGGCACTGTAATAAGTAGGAAGATTTTATGACCACATCACCTTTCAGTATATATAGCCCCTAAGAGGCTGGAAACAGGCAGCTATTTGGATTAATGGAGCATTTGATGATCGGGATAAATACGAAATAATAACTTCAACTAGAAGTTGGCGTTAGTGGCTGATTTCAGGCAACAGTTTTCGGTCCCGCTCGTATAAGATGAACAATATCACCTTTATATTGAATGTACACAATTGAGTTACAACCAACAGCCTCGGAAAACAAGTATCAAAAACATGAAGTCCCAACACCCCTCAAATTCTCAACCCATCAGCGCCAATCTAATGTCCCTCCCTTCGGAACTCCACCTCCAAATAAGCACCTACCTTTCCTACCCAGACGCCCTAGCCCTAAAACACAGCAGCCGCCACTTCTACTCGATAGTCAACACAGGCGTGCGTCTGAAAGTTGACTGGCTTCTCGAGCGGTTTGAGCGTAAGCTTGATTGCCCAATGGAGAAGTGCTCGTTCAGCACTGACGAGTCCTTTTGCAATGGGCGTGTGCGCGGCATTATGGAGCGCCGTCGGTGGCATCTTGAGTGTCGCCCGGTTCGGAATGGCTGTCTGCTTGTTAATGGCCAGACTTGCCGCTCGGATTTGGTGCCGGCTTGGTTCAAAGTGAAAGCACTAGGGAAAAGAAGAGCTGTCAAGGTGATAGAGAGCTGGGGACATGAAGGTTTGTTCCCTCTTTGGTTCTATCTTGTTCTCGTCTGATACAGACATCGGCTGATATTGTGTTGCATAGCATTTATAATTGGCATTGTGGCTGTTCTATTTAATTTGCTGTGGCATTTGGCCCAGAGGTGAGACATTGTCTCGTGATGGCTTGTATGTGGTTTGAAGACCTTGCTGATCCAACTCGCCAGAACCTGGTATCTCGATAGTAGATTGAGAGGATACTGCACGACAGGTTTACTTGGAAGTAAACAATAGAGCTTACCATCGTTGTGGTGATTAGGCTCATTGGTACATCCGACTCAAGATGCGGCGCAGCGCTGGCGAACTGAGCGACTCTGAGCAGGGCTGCCTGCCATCGTGGTAGTGATCCCAAAGGCATTAGGCATTGCGGTCAAGGAAAAGTATATGTAGAATACGGTCAGTTCTGGAAGTCGATGCTTGTGAACAGTTTGGCCAGCATGGCTCTAGAGGTTAGACTCGCATTTTCTAGAGGGTCAGGAACTCACAGGACAAAACGTGATTCGAAAGGTACTAGGATGGTTTTGTAATCGGGTTGATATATCGAGTGCTAACGGGTTTCGTTTTGTCGTTTTTTGCCCGGAGGGATGTTATGAGACATATGTTATTGTTGGGAATGGCCTGAAGTGACCATAGAGAGCGTTTCTAACAGAGTCAGAGCTGTGGAGACATGATCTTCACAGTTTGCAAGCTTTCCAGATGCTGTGATGCAGTGAACTTGAATTTGACCTCATCTGACGGAGAATCTCAGCCCTAATCAGGATCTTATCGGTGACGTCACATTGACGACCGTGTATACTTCCTACATGTATATAGCTTCGCCTCCATATTTCTCAGACTCTCTACTTTGTCGTGACCTTTCATCATTTGAACATCAAACAAAAATGTCTACCGCAAGTGCTACTATCAACACCAAGACGGGCAACCAACCCGTGGACCCCTACAAGACCCAGAACTTCGAAGACCCTCCTCTCCCTCAGAAGATCGAAGACCTGGTTGAATTTATCTCCCAAGTTAAATTTGGCATGCTGACAACGAAGCAATCAGAGGGCGATTATCTGGCCTCGCGATGCATGGCATTAGCTGCGACGGTATGAGCAGAGCCACAAACAAAGGAAAGACATGCTAATCAATTACCCAAAATAGGAGAACGGTGGCATCGACCTCATTTTCCATACAAACCTCTTCTCCGGCAAAACAATGGATCTCACTGTGCACCCACAGGAGACAAATATGTCCTTCCTCGACCATGTCAGCGGAGCCTGGGCCTCGATCTCAGGCACCGCATCAGTGGTTGGTGATCCCGCCACCGTGAAGAAGTACTACTCGCCCACACTCAAGGCATGGCTTGGCGATATGGGCGATGGCGTGCATGACGGTGGACCCTCGGATCCCAGGATTGGGGTTATTAAGCTCCAGGCCAAGTTAGCCACGCATGTTGTTCCGCACAAGGGCGTGCTTGGACGAGCTGTTGAAAGTGTTAAGGGTGCTGTGCAGGGCAACGTGCCTCATGTTAATGGTATTCGAGAGTTGAGTATGCAGGAATTGGCTGAGTGTATGTTCTCCTCTTCCTCTTGACCTTCTGAATATGTACAGCCGATATGCTAACTACTCTCTCTCTGCAGGGCGCCGGACTCATCAGGAATAAGTGTACTTTACTCCGAAAGAAGAACATGGCCTCTTTGTTGGAAATGAAGATGAATGAATTTGAATTCTAAATATGCCCCCTCCCTAAATGGTCCTTTCGCTTCAGTTACAATTTATGAGGCATTGATCAGCCAAAACAACTAGACCAAAGATACAGTCACAGGAATTTACAAGCAAAGGTACAACATTGAAATATTCAGACACTAAATTACACAAGAGATGAATTCAGAAACAAGACCTAACGGAGCTTGACTCCGTGACCGTCACAATTGAAACAAGATAAAACTGGGTATCGTCCGCAAACTCCCGCTGCCATGCGCGTAATTCATGAAGCGGCGTCTATTCAAAAAATCAACGCCAAAGTGAGCGAACATTTAAATCTGGTGGCTTTGTTAGCATAAGAACATATAGATCAAGTTTATGTAGACCCACCAAAGCAAGAGGTTGGCGGTAAGGAACACGACCATTGTGCAACAGCATAGCGATGGATCTCTGGGGAGTAGCCTGCAGCTTGCGGAAGGCCTCGCGAACGTGTCGTGGCTCGATGGGAGTGCGCCCCTCCTCGGGCGGGTCGAACAGGCCGGTCTCGCGCTTCCGCTTCTTGAGGTTCTCACCGGCTTCGGCGCCTCCGCGACGGTGCTTCTCATTGTCTTCGCGCTCCTTTACTTTGAGCGCCTCCTCGGTCAGGGTCTGCACAATCTCGAAGGTGAGGAATCCGAGGATGTCGACGATGTCGTCGTTTGGCTTAGACTCGGTCACAACGCCGAAGCCTGCCCACTCACGGAAACGCTTGCTTTTGCGGTAGGTAAAGGAAGCCTGGCGACACTCGGACCAAAATACATACTCCTCCTTTGTCATGTGGCGGGTGCGCTCATCGGCAGCAGCAAGACGCTGGAGCGTCGCGTAGTTCTGCTCCTCCTCTTCTTCATCCTCCTCATCTTCGCGCTCGGGAACCTGAACTGAGAAGAAACTGTTGACATCCCACGCAAGTCCGACCTTGGCGCGCTTATTCTTGGGCTTGGGGGCCACGTCTTGGGGGCCTGCAACAACACCAGCCGCATCGTCGGCGGCAGCGAAGTCGGCGGCGTCACCACCACCCTTGTCGTCGGAGTCCTTTACATTTTTACGGACGTCCTTCCAGGACAGGAAGGTTCGCAGACGGGAGACCTTGGCCTTGTCGTGGCGAATCAGGAAAATTAGGTCGTCAGTAGAGATCGAGCGAACTCCGCGGCGGGTTGCCAATGCCGTGCTGCGGGTAAGCTATTTGATCGTTAGTGACAAGAGTCCTTCAAGGCAGAATTCCTAGTACTCACAATTTCGACCACTTGTTGGCGGGTGATGTCTTCAATCAAAGTGGTAGTCTCAGGAGACGGCTCTGCTGTTTCTCCGGAGACAAACATCATCTCGATATTGTCGTTAGTAAATGAGCCTTCAAATATGTTTCCTTTCTCCGTCCTATGATCTTCCTGGCTCTCGCTATTTTTTTCGGGGCTGGTCGCAAAAGAGAACGAGTTGAAGATACGGGTGCAACGCAAGTGAAGCCGAAGGCCAGGTAATCCTTTAGGGCCAAGCATCTCGGTGTAATACTCGTGGAAGTACTCTCCCATGGAAAAGAAGTCTGACTCAGAATCGCCCGACAGATGATCTTGATTCGCACAGGAAACGTCGTCAACAGAATGCATCGAAATATCGTCAGGGAGATCCACGCCCGAGTCTGAATCTGCACAAGGAGCATTGACAGGGGAGGCCATGGTGCAATCAGTATTGATAGGGGAGGCCATGGCACAATCACTCAAGGCCATATCAGGATCAGTCAAGGTCCGATCAGGATCACTCATGGTCTCATCAGGATAGCTTTGCATCAGTGCTTTGTTTCGCGCAAGCTCTTCCCTACACTGTGCCCAGAGCTCAACGATTGATTTGGCGTCCAGGTTCGGAAAAGACATGATTGATGAATGAGCGCGCAGATAAAGTCTTCGATACAGTGGATGGATGAAATGCCAAAGGATCCGTGAGACGCGTTTGTAGATGGGTTTGACAAAAGTATTCAGAAGACAAGACCACCGAAAGACCAAGCAGGGCGTAATGATATGATGAAAAGACGAAGGCGCAGAGGGTTTCTCTTGGTAAACAAAGCGTTCCAAATCTTGGATAGAAAAGATGAAGATTGACAGGTGGCGGGGGGAGGTCGAGGTGAAGAATAAGTGAGATATCCAGGCACCTCGGCAAACCGATAGGCTGAGCGGTAGCGTCATGAAGTCGATATCGATAAGAAGCTCACTCGTGACCACCTCAAATATCAGAATGTAGGAGAGAAGGCACGACCACGACCGTCCTGCAGATTGCTCCTAACCCTCGGAACTTTGAAATCGTCCTTGGTCTTCAACCAAGTATCCCTTCTTGATCCAATGCCAAAGCTTCGATATCGGCAGTACTAGTTGCAGAGTGGATCCAGGCATTTTGAGTATCGCAGTTGTCTTGCTCGATGTCAATATGTGCATCAACAATCCAGCAATGCAAGATTGAAAGACCCTGCTCGACCATGACACGACATGAACACAGGTGTTTGAACCCAATATCGACCCTCGATATGAAAGATCGGAGACGACAAGAACAATATGGGGTTGTTCCAGCAAATGAGTATATTCGCAAGCCGAGTCGTATGTCGCAAGCCCAGCCGAACCGTCTGTGGATAAAACATGAAAGGCAGCTTCGAACTTCGCAGGATAACTTCCTCCTATCCGACTCGGCGAATTGAGGTGCCTATGGCCCTGCCCCCGAAGACAACGTGGTTGCGCTACGCAAGTATGTTGTGTCGCAAAGCCAGCTGGCAGTCACAATATGTTCAGAGGCCTTTGGAGGCCGTATCAGACGATAAGATTGAAATATTCGAGAGCCAGAAAGATCAAGAGACCGAAAACCCCAAGCAAAATGAACCAGAGACCGGGGAGGAACTCACCTGTTGTATCTCCTGCCGATACTTCGGAGTCCGATCGGAGCTCATGATGGATGGCGGTAACCCTACCAGGGGAAATGCCTTTGACGATCGAGATGAGCCTCACACTGGTATTCAACCAGTAGGAGTAAACAGTATTGGATCGATTCAATGCAAAGTGGAAGAAGATGTGCGCAAGGAGGATGAAGCTCTGGACGTCCGCAGAAGCACGGGCCGATCTGGGGGCGATAAGCGATAGCCGTATATTCTTTGATCCGGCGGTGGTGGAGTATTCTGCCGGTATCGCGGGGCACGGCGGTTCTTTTTTTCCTTAACTGGTTGTTATACAGTGTGATCCATTTTTGCATTGTTCAATTGCATAGCCTGAGATCCTACAGTCAATATGCTCCATCTAGTTGGACTCGGTCTCGCCGACGAGACGGATATCACCGTCCGCGGTCTGGAGATTGTCAAGCGGGCCGAGAGAGTCTATCTAGAGGCATACACGAGTATTCTTCTTGTCGATAAGGAAAAATTGGTGAGTTGAGTTCAAAGTCTTTATCTTGAATTCTATATCCCAATGAAACATTGCATCTTTTGCACAGATGGACTGACTGGACGTAATGCCAGTAGGAAGCGTTCTATGGTCGCCCCGTCATTGAGGCAGACCGCGAACTAGTCGAGACCGGCAGCGATGACATCCTAGCCGACGGCGACAAAGTTGATATTGTTTTCCTAGTAGTCGGAGATCCATTCGGGTACTGTCTTTATCACTTCCCCTACAAGATCCATAGCTAAAATAATACCACCAACAGCGCAACAACGCATACCGACCTCGTCCTCCGCGCGCGCGAACTTGGCATCGAAACCAAGGTCGTCCCGAACGCCTCGATCATGTCGGGAATCGGCTGCACAGGACTCCAGCTGTACAACTTCGGGCAAACAGTCAGCATGGTTTTCTTCACTGAGACCTGGAAGCCGTCGTCGTACTACGACCGTGTGCGCGAGAACGTGCAGACCGGCCTACACACACTAGTCCTGCTCGATATTAAGGTGAAGGAGCAGTCACTAGAGAATATGGCACGCGGACGCCGCATTTTCGAGCCGCCGCGCTACATGACAGTTGCACAGTGTGCGGCACAGATGCTGGAGACTGAGGAGGAGCGACAGGAGGGTGTCTATGGGCCGGATAGTTTGGCTGTTGGTGCGGCGCGTGTTGGCGCTGCTAACCAGCAGCTTGTTTCTGGTACACTTAAGGAGTTGTCTACCGTTGAGATGGGCGCGCCATTGCACAGTCTTGTGCTTCTTGGTCGGAGAACGCACGATCTTGAGAGGGACTATATCCGCGAATATGCGGTCAATAAGGAGACTTTTGATGCGAGCTATGCCAAGGGGTATGGGGCTAGTTTGTGAGAGTTGAGTTCTTGCGAAGAGATATGATTTCAAAATTAAAATACATTATTACTTATTTCTTTAAATGGACTAAGTTCCTTGCTGTAGTACATTGAGGTTGTTGGAATGATCAAGTTTGGAAAGATAGCAAGTGGTGTATATTGGATATCATTCAAATTGATCCTCGCAGGATCAACTGACCAGAGCAAGCTGTCTGGATTTTTCTATTCTAACATACATATATAGGAAGACAAAATGAAAATGCGCAGTATAACGAAAGAGCAAGGCAATTGGTATCCAAAAAGCAGAAATGGGAAAAAATCATATGCAGGCATGAAATCAAAAGGTTCAATATGCAAAAACACCACTGCCCACCAGTGCAGCAATGAACGCAAATGAGAAATATATCGGTCGGAGACATTGAGGTGACCTGCACCAGCAGGATAGGGAGATCAAAGCGTATCAGAACCAAAAAGACCACCCAACCAACGACACCTTATGATATGCAAAATGTTGAAGCAATGTACAATTCAACTCTTGAGAAAAAAGACACGCTCGTATCGTATCACATCAGATGTCTTCTTCCTCGCCAGGAAGAAGAATCTCATGTCCAGAACCTTCATATACGAAGATAGCTGCAAGGCAACCAAACACGGATACCAAGGCAATCAACCACCAGGCGAAGCCGACAATGCCTATATCCAGGCCGTATCCGTACCAGGCACCTGAAAAGATAGGTCCAACGGTACGGAAGGCTGATGACACGGACTGGCCAATTCCGTGAATTGTGCCGAGGACCGATGGGTGCGGCGAGCAGTTATTCAGCAGGATGATGGAGGTGGGAAGAGTGAAGGTTCGGGCAGTAACCTGGAAGAAGAGGACGATGATGATCCAGAACCAGACCCAGGGGCCGTTGGCTTGACCAGGAGGGGGAATTGTAGATGGAGCCAGCGAGATATAGGGAGCAAGGAAGTAAGCGATCGGGAAGAGGGAGAGGAAATACTGGTAGCTTTTGGCTGTGCCCAGACGGCCGTTAATGGTAGGGTAGATGGTGAACTGGAGGACCATGCCAATCACACCCAAAATGGCGGTCGCGAAACCAACACTCTGCGGCAGCATGCCCAGACCGCCGGTGAAGGCGAATGGCAAGCTCTGGGCGGGGCTCGCAGGGTCATTGGCATCATAGCGGGGAGTGGACAGGAAGAGTAGCCAGAGGTTGTTGAAGGCACCCATTTGGAAGTCGAAGAAAGCCTGTGCGCCGAGCGTGCACAACACATTTTTGGTCCAGATTCTTCGGAAAGGTAACACACGTTGGAGGCGGACAGGCTTGTGAGCCTTTTCTTCGAGCTCGTAGCTTTCCGAGCGGTCCTGGTCCAGCAAAGGTCCGTCCTCTTCGTAGTCGCGGAGCGGAAGCCTTGTGTACAAGGATGATGAAGGGGGGACCACTGTCTTCACGCCGCGTGCAAAGATCTTTTTAGCATACGCACCCAGGCCAGGCTTGCCCTTGCAAGATGCCAAGGTCTCTTCTAATCCGTACGCAACCAAAACAGCAGTTGTAGAGAGGAAACAGAAGTTCGCGATCATTGGCAGTGCATAAGGGTAAGTCTCAAGCCACTGCACTCCGTTCGCGCCCCCAAAGGAAGAATTGGGACCAAAGAGACGGGGATAGCTTTTAACAGGATCAGCTAACATGCCACCCATCACTGCGAAACTGATTAGCGGTTTGTCGCATAGCCGCGAACAGCATTGACAGAACGAGGTACTCACCAGGACCGAACAACGAAGCTATGTTGAAACCAATAGGCAAGATCAAGAAAGCTCGCGAGTGATATTTCTTCTCTTTAACATTCTCCGCAATCATAGTTCGAATAATACCAACGGTGCCGTTGATGGCGCCACCAAACGAGCGCCAGAACACGGCCTGCGCGAACGACGTCGAATAGGCGACACCCAAACATGACATCGCAGTGCCAACCAAACCAACAAGTAGAACAAACCTACGACCACCCCACTCAGCATCGGCAACCCGACCCCAGGGGATCGCCGTTGCGAACTGAGCAGCGGTAAAAGCACCCTGGAGAATTCCCGCCTGTGTCGCAACATCAGAGTCGGAGAGGTTCTGGTCGAAGGACTTGAGCTGGTAGAACATGTAGGCCTGTAGCGAAGCGATCTGCAGGAAATCAAACACACGGCAGAGGCCCAACAGCGCCAATTGACCTTTCCGCGGCAGCGACATCCACGTTACGATCGCGGGGCGCGGTGGCGCCCGCACAGTCGGGAGCTCATTTTCCTGCAGGGCGAGTGCCTGTGGCTGGCCATGGCTAATGGAGCGGGCGCGCACATGCTGTGTTTTGCGGTCACCACCCTGATCCATCGAGGTATTCCTTAACATGTTATCATCGATGGCGGGTGAGTCGAGCGAGTCGTGGGAGGAGGAGCGTTCTTCAACGCTGGCGAGGGAGGTATTAGACTCGCGTCGGCGGCGGCCTGTGTTATCGGAGGATTCGCCGGTGCCTTGGGTGAGATGGAAGCCGCTCGACCAGGATGTCGTACGTCCGTGGCGGGCATTATTCGTTTTATGATTTCCGGTCCTGGCAGGCATTGAGGAATGTACTAGTGTAAACCAAGGCGCCGTAAGGATCGAAAGTAGTGGTCGGCCCCTTTGGTTTCACGTAATTTTCGTGGTTTGGGTGGTTTCGTAGCTTGATGCAAGTTAATTATGATTGGCTATTGCTGTGAGAGAATGGAAAGAAGAGAAGAGTTGTATTTTTTTAATTTCTCTCCCATGTTGTTGTACCGTCCCCAGGGGATTTTGCCGATGACGTCCTATCTCGGTACTTTTATTTGAGGCCCACCAGGCCCGGGGAATGCCACGGATTAACTACTTTGTACGCAACAACTTTGGAAATATCTCAATTTTATATTTTGAAAGTAACAATATATTGATAATATAGTGTTCATTTCTTTATTCAAATTCCTTAATATAAGTGCAACATACAACATAAACGTTCCATATGATAGATACACTCTCTCTGATACATAGATCGACAACGACACCGGCTTGCGACGACGGCTCCACCACTCCTGCCGAGCCCTCCTCCCTTGGGTCACGACTCGCTGGTGCGGTTTTAAACGGAAATCTTGGCAGGTACGAACCTTGGTGGGGGTGTTAGTTTAGTTTACAGTACTTACAATTCTTTACATCATACGTACTGATACATATATTCCTTATGTAGGAAGTGTACATGTATGTATCAATCTTTCAATCGGGTCTGTTCTCCATTTTAAGCTTTAACACGTTAAATGTGACACAAAATCATTTATTTCAAGTAATAATAAATTACTAATAATTAATCCACCAAGGTTTCCGAGGTCTAGAGCGAACTCCAACAGTTAGCGCAACAGTTCATGCGCTTCAGCCACATTCCACGTCATTGGAAAAAAGCCACTCTGATACATATCACAATGCAAACGTATACCTCAGCGCTAACTACTGCAAGGCTAACATACTCGACCCTACAAGGCGAAACTAGGAGTTGATATGTGACATCTTGCATGATCACGGCAATAAAACTTCCGAAGTGGACACAGTACTCCATACATCGTAGCTTTCTACATATTTTGATCGACATAGAGATAGACATTTTACATATGTACTGAATAAACCTTATATGTATATGTATCTATCCGTACTAACAAAACTTTATAACGCAAAATCTAACGGGGTCTCTAGAGAGAAGTTAACCCGAGTGATGAATGCCCAGTACGGAAGTATCGAATAGCTCCACCTCGCTCCGGGGGTACGTGCATCCAGTGCGTAGCCAGTTTCTCCCTGGTGAGAGAGCCTGGGAATCGACGCCTAAAATGACCGCTTCGGAAGCCAAGAACGGCTACCTTTCCTCCCAGGAAGCTTTGAGGGCGAGTTGCCGGTTTCGCGAGGGCCGCCTGTTCACGTGTCAGTTCCCACGTGCGCTCCACGAGCATGGCCAAGGTGAAGGTATGGTCCTGCAGGAGCTTGGCTACCCAGATGTGTGCGCAGTCCAGTTTCGCCAGTGACACGGGTTTAGCAGCACTGCCCGACCCAGCTCTAGCCGGAGGTGGGCTCAGCATCGTGGCCAGGAAGATGCCACGCTGCTCGGTAACTCCATCCTTGTACAACAGGCTTGTGAGGAGATTATCTGGCGTTGTTGTCGCCCAGCTCTGTCTTATAGCTCGCTTGGTCATACCTAGGAAGTGCTTAGACTCCATCCTACTCTGAGTTTAGCTTCTGTACCTCCGTATACTGTTTGAGGCGATAATAATGTAATTCTTCAACAATGCATTCAACCGTTCCTCTCACTCATCTTACTAAAGAAAGGACTCGAGACATAGAAAGGCCGTTCTGCAGGCTTCTCATCATGATCACTCTCTCCATTCCCCTTATGGCCCAAAAGCGACTGCATTCGCGCCCGAAACACTTCATTCTGAGCCAACTTCCCAACAGGCTTCACTGCGACCCGTTCTCCATCCGCAAACTTTGCATCGGGCTCCCCTTCATACGTCGACTTCGGGCCATCTATCCATTTCTTCCTTCCGCGGAGACACACATTCTTCATTTCCTCTGAACTTCTGTTGATCATGCTCTTCCAGAATTCCCTTTCCCCAGGAGAGACAACACCAGCATGCTCAAGCATCCCAACAGCGCCAGCAACCCAGTCTTGGCAATTTCCAACCCCGAACTCGGGGATGTTAGACTCATCGTTCCCAAACGCAGATATCAGGCTAGCAGCTTGTTGGGCCTGCTCAGAAGAGAGAGAAGCAAGCTCACAACGACCTTTAAGAACCGGGTCTTCAAGCGGCTGTGTCCGCGGATCGTAGATGAAGTCTTCATCTGTGGGGTTGCGGATATGGTGCATCTCGCAAGTTGAGGAGTCGTACTTGTAGATAGCGACTCCCATGTGGGAAGGCCCGTCTCCCAGTTTGGCATCGCCGCGGCCGTAGATATTTATTGAAAGGCCGTGAGTAGGGGATTCCATCTGGCGCTGGTAGAGTAAAGAGGGTAGAGTAAAAGGGGGTAGAGTAAAAGGGGGTAGAGTAAAAGGGGGTAGAGTGAAGGGGGTAGAGTGAAGGGGGTAGAGTGAAAGAGGTATATACCTACCTAGGTGCCTAGGCAGTTGTTGGGTTGTTGGCGGCTACCTACATATGTATACAGCTATATTTATCCCGTGTCCCCACACCACTCCCGGGAGTGGGGAACCTTGGAAATCTCACGGAGTAAAGCAGAAGCGGTGAGGCAGAGAAATGTCCACCCTCTGGAATGAATAGCACTATGAAAAAATCGTACCATCTCGTACCCTGACAGAACCAGTATCTTCTCCAGGAGCGTCCGATTCGTCACAGTGATCTTGATCCTCGTCATTGTCCCCCCATATGGTTTACCAAAGGTTCTGCAGGAAGACTGATCGCAGAGAGCTGCGGGTCACGTTCCAGTCTGTCAGGACGCACTTGGACAATTATTATAACTAATATGAACCAAATTACATACATATTGTCTGAAGAATGGGGTCTTTCGAATTTGATTTGAGACTTTTTCCATTGATTTGCTATTTCAAGTTTACAAAGAGCAATAACTCCGAGGAAATCTGCAAACTTACATAACAAACACATATATAGGGTTCTGGTTTGTATCGTATATAAATATTGAGAGAAACACTTGACTCTCACAACATGAAAGATAATAACAACACGGCAAGCGAACAAAATATCACAGACCGGAATTTCAAGGCAGAAAGCAGTAGCAGCAAGGACGATGATAGCAGCAGCAACAACAACAACGACAACAATGAAATTTCAAAATGAAATCCCTCCGCTGGTTACCACCTGGGTTGACTGCTGCCACTGATGCCCGCAAACTGGTCCAAATTGAGGCGACCAACGGGCTTTCGCACTTGCTCCTTCCCAAAGGTCGCATCGGCACATCCTCGTCCTCCGGGGTTGACAGCGGTTACCGGAACCCAAGAGCCGCCATCTTGCCGGACTCGATTGGCAGCATCCAAAGAAGCCAGTCCGATATGTTGGCTCCAGTAGTCTTTGGTGCCCCTAGGCACCAGTCTCTCTCGTTCAAGGGCACCAAGTGCACCTACAGTCCAATCCTGAGAGTTTGCATGTCCATGTGGAAGGTTGAATTTGTCTTTTCCATACGCATCCAAGATTCGTGCCGCAGTCTCCTTGCCCGTATTCGAGAGGTGCTGGATTTCCATTCGACCGTAGCAGGTAGCTGATTCAACAGCACGTTTCTGTGTTGGACTTTCGTAGTAGAAGTGTTCATTCTTGCGAATATGGTAGAGATCACCGTCCGGGTCCCCTCGCTTGTGGAGCATCGCTCCCCAGTGTGCCGGGAGATCACCCTGGAGGACATCTCCCCGTCCGTAAATGTTGACGCTTAGAACATAGCCATTTTCGCTGCTTTTTCTGGAGCCGCTGGGGCGGGAGCTGTGCCCACGTAGCATGGTGCTAACAAAGGTAAACTCGTTGAGGAATGTGAATAGAATGTGATATATTCGACGATCTGCAACCAATAATAAGACGAGAGAGAAGACAATAATTGATATTGATATACTTGACCGGGCATTGTGCACTATTTATGGTATCCTGAGAAGAGAACATCGAGCGACGTGGTGTCCATGAAACAAGCCACTGGTCGAAGCGCTCCCCAGGTAAGCGCTGAAGCTCCTAGGAAACACCAAAATAGAAATATAATGTTTTATACAACAGTCTATCTCGGATACGAGTGGCTCTCAGGGAATCGTGGCACTCAGGCCGACTAGAACATGATGCATCCAGAGCGCCTAAAAGATCTACATCCACGCGAAGGATCGGCGGTAGCTAGACAACTTCGATTTACTGCTGATCACAGGCTCATGGAGTACCTCGGCGCATATTGAGGTGCTAGAGGAATGTCCAGTGGATCACTCATAGTTAGAGAAGATCTAAACATAAACCATGGAATAGATGCCCTTGTACATCCGGGCGGCTGCGCAGGTGCTGGTTCATGTTTACGCAGTCAGGATAGTGAACCAATCACATCAACCTGGGTATGGATCAATATTCAAGTGACTAAGCCCACTGGAGCCCCAGGAGGGCCCACACGGCTCAAAAACATCGAAAGGCCAATCAGCAAGCAGCTCGAGATACGGAGTACGTCTCGCTGCCTCACTTTCTCCCGTCATAAACAACAATATAGTAGTTATTCCATTTTCTGTACGGTATCCGAGCCTTCGATAGACCTACAACAAACTTTTTCGGACACCAGTTTGACTGACAGCCTTTCGTCCTCCTTTTTAGCGCCTGGTTGACAATGTCTGTTTCATTAGAATCAAGTTCTCAGGCTAGTCATTTTCGGGACGCTCTTCCTTCTTTTGAAAATTCCCGCATTACTGGGTTCTGGGGTGTCGATTTGAAGGACGCGGAGTGGCAGGTACTGGAGGTGATTTTGGGAAAGGTACTCGGACTACGGGCACACATCGACATTCGTCACTAATTTATCAATAGTTTCTAAGAGGCCATTCCGCAATACCCGCACTTCAAATATCCAGGGCAAGCGCCTCGCTCAAGAAAACTTTTGGAATGGCGACGCTTTTCTAACCCGAGGGCTCCTCTTGCTGTAGCAGAGTCCATCCTTCCAGACTTGGACTGCCATATCACTTTAAATGAGGGGTAATGTGTGCTGTGGGTCAGCATTGATGAGATAAAGATTAAGGGATACTCACCATCACACCAAAGCCTGACTACATCGAAAGGGTTGGTGAAGTTAGGTCTTGCTGCTGGAGATCAGTGCAGCAGCAAGTACTGACATGGAGAAGACCATTGTGGAAAAGGAAACTACGGCTTCCCCTACGGGCACCGGCTGCGCCCATCCCAAAGGCCCGGAGGAAAGCCTAGAAGAAGGCTCCGAAGAAGGCCTGGAAGAAGGCTTGGAGTCAGAGGAGCAAAAACCTCGCTTAATTTACTCAGAAACCATTGGATCTCCATCTATCATACTTGACCCTGGCGACTTGCAGATGGCAGACGACATTTGTCCCGACGAAATGGGCGCGCCTATTGTTTTCGCAGATTCAGATACGGTTGTGGAATTCGGCCACAATGTTCGTTTAGGCGAAGCCGAAGTGTTACATTTGGCATCTAGCCGTACGACCATAGCAACACCAAAGCTTCTCAGTGCATATTCTTTGACGGTGTTGGATACATTGTAATATCATATGAAGCGGGCGAGCCACTCGAACAATACTGGGACCGTGTTTCGCAGGCTGAGCAAAATCGCGTACTGGAGCAGTTACGGGACTACGTGAACCAGATGCGGGAGATTCCAGGGGATTTCATCGGTGGACTTGATGGATCAACCTGTCGAGTGGCCACGGCGATTACAGTAGCTGCAGCTACGGACCATACCCATCTGAGGAAAGCTTTGATGAAGGAATCGTTCAAGCTTTGCAAGATCGACTGCCCTTGGAAGCGCTCGAACGTGAACATGACATCGAATCGAACTTTTTTTTTTTAACAACGAGTACATGCTGTACCAGACGGTCGGAGTTCTCAAGAATCACAAGATCTTGTTTACACATGCGGATCTACGTCCAGGGAATATCATTGTTCGGATTGATGGCACTGTTGTTCTATTGGAGTGGGGCCTAGCTGGATTTTGGCCGGGGCATTGGGAATTCTACCTGCGGTGCATAATCCATCCTGGAGAGCTTCATGGGATCGATCGTATGGTGGAGAAATTTATTCCGCCTTTTTATGTTGAGTACAGCGTGATTAAAGGGTATTCGAGACCGTGTGGAACTATAAAGGGAATTGTCCACCATTTCCGCTAATACTCCGTACAAAATGTTTATTTCAAAAAAAAGGAAAGTTAAATTGATATCCATGGAGGTACTAGAGCCATCGGAACACCGGCGGCAATAACTAGCGCTGAGAGGAGAAGCGTTTCAGCCATATTCCATGTCACTAGAAGAAAAAGCCACTTTCATGTATCGTAAAATACGACGTATACGTGGCCTTCCCAGTGCGGGTGTCGGCTTTATGTATTTTTCGGGAATACGTATTATAGTACGTAAGGTTCTTTGCATCGCGCCGCGTGGTTCTGCCTTGCGGACTGTTTATCCTATACCTAGGTACTTGATCCATAGCATAAACAACACAGGCAACTCAAAGCCTTTGCCTAATTGGGTAGCAGATACGAGAGAGAATAGTGTATGGGTGATATGTTGTGGTAGTATGTATGTATGTACAGCGCTGAGTACCTTGCGGTATAGATGCAAAGATCAAGCAAGAAGTAAAGGAAAAAGAGTAAAGAATGAGGAGTCACTATTCGTTCCGCTCTCACTCACGCCTGTGACTGTATAGACTCGGCTCACCGAGCGGGAAATAAGAAGTTCCCTCGTCCTTTCCGATCCACCGGCACCAATTCCACCAGGGAACGTTGGCCTGCATGGGAGGGTGTTTCCTCTCAGCCGTACCATTTATCAACACAGAGGACTCCTGATCCCGCGATGGATTGAAGGACTGCCTGGTATAGTATCGATATCCGAGGAAGGCTCCAGCGAAGAGCGGGATCACCACGAGGAGAACGGTGCCCCAGGCAAGTAGGCCTGTGACATTGTCAGTTTCGCTTCTTTATTTGATAGAATAGAATCATGTTTTAGATATACTCACGGCCAATGTTCCACCCATCCGAGTAGTTTGGAGTACTAGAAGGACTGGGATAGCTCGAGGGTTGCGTCCAAATATTGGAACCCGGGTTGTTGGGGTCAATCCACGGCACGGTATTGACACCTACTGGCGGAATGAAAGGGAGGACTGCCTCTTCGCCGGGATACCCATATCCCTGTGCGTCCGAGCAGGTAGAGTCGGCGCAGAACTCGCGTAGCTCGGACGAGGGCACGAAGGTATACTTAGTCCCGGACTCTCCCAGCACAATGCCCTCGCGGCCCACCGCTTCGACCTTTGACCAAAGGAAGAAACTGGCGTTGGTGTATTCCGTCTCAAAGCCGGTTTTGGAAACCTCATCCAGCAAGGTCCAAGGTCCGGTCATGTTCATCGCTCCCCAAAATCGCCACCTGTTGACACGGGTTGCACCGTTCCAACTGACATAGAAGCTGGTGGGAGATAATGGTTCTGCGCTCCGGGAGTATGTCCATAGGGCAGGTGAGTCTGTTGGTACACCATCCCATTCAAATTTCATTGCGCGGTAGTTCATCACGGTGTCTTTGGCGAAAGAGCCCCAGAACAATAGATTGCCCGCCTCGTCGTATTCAGATACGAACGGGTTATTTCCCCATCCAATGAATGCATTTTTATTAGGGAGCATCTGCAGGTTTCCCTGGCTGGAGCTCACTAGGTCATTTTGAATTGGGACGTAATTGCGGAGCTGGATGGCCGTTTTTCGCTCGTGGTCGATCATGATAATCATGCCCGCTGAATAGGTATGGGTCTTGTTGAAGCCGTTATAGCCATTGTTGTAGAGTGAGAGAAACGTATGTGTAGCATTCTCATACAACCACCGGGCATCATGCTGTTGCGAGAAGCTAAAATTGATATTCCGGAAAGAGGGCTGCGCACCGTGAAGCCTCCACATCACCGAGCCGTCCTTACCCGAGATCTTGTAGACGGCAGAAGTATGCCGCGAGGAAATCAGATAGTCACCGGCAGCATTTTTGTCGATGGAGTTGATATGGAAGTAATCCCACGGCTCGTGCACATTCAATCCCGTTCCAGAAGTATCCGTATGAGCCGGCCATGTATAGCTCGACGATGGATCAACATGATCGAGAGACCGCCATTCAAACAGGACCTTGTTAGTCTCCACGTCGACCTCCTGGAAAACACTCTCCATGAGCCACCCTACGCCAGTTTTGACGTTCCACGGTGTCATGTCGAATTGCCGTTGCTGGTAGATGGTCATGAGAGCGGTTTTGCCGTCGTTGATGGGACGGAATTCATGCATGTCGCTCGAGGCCATTCCTCCACCCGGCTGAACTGATCGCACAACTCGGTAGTTCTTATCCATGATGATACCATGTCCGCGGCAGTATCCTTTTTGTTGGTTGCCCTGGAAGAAACATAGGTGATCCGCGCCGTTATACTTACACACGTGGAGGCCATGGGCGTTGCCAGGCCCCGAAATACCCCAGCCACTCCATACCAATTCCTAGTGGTCGCGTGACGGGTTAGCTTTTCCATCGTGGACGAATCTCACTGTGAAATAAAGACCTACCCCTGTGTTATCGTAAATGTACGGGCCGGGATTCTGAATTTCGTAAGGTGTGATGAAAATGTAGCCTGGGCTGAGCTTGTCTGGCTTGGACGTTTCGACATTGAAAACTGGCGGATATATGTCGGGTCTCTATTTCACAGATAATAATTTCAGTCAAAGAGCACACTTGGGGGCAGACTAATTTCACTGACCGATTTGTAAAAAGAGGTTTCCTCTCCAAGCGCACTATCAGTAGCGCATAACCAGAGAACGCCAAGAAAGAAGAGAGTCGGCCCAGTCCTCGAAGAGGAATATATGGAGGCGCCCATGGATCCCTCGCACCACTCCCGATGCAAGATAGAAATTTGTAGAGCCAAACAGAAAGGATCATCCAAAAGAATGTATACAAGGGTGATTGTATCGAAAGTAAATCATGTAGAAGTATAGAAAAATGCAGGCTAAAGAGAACACTGAAATGCCAAAAAGGGCAAAGAGTCACAAGGTGAACCAACAGTGTGTACGAATCCTTCTCCACCTGTCAATGCATACTTTCTGCAGATATAGCGGGGCATCAATTATGCCGATCGTCTATATTCATTGGCTAAAAGCCATTTAAAGCTAGAAACAGATGTTTAGTCAAGCGCAATTCGACCAACACCCGTCTAGTGCCAAGATGCCCAGTCTTGCTAAAATTTGTTTGTTTTAAGTTCTTTAAGTTGTGGGGGAGTGTTCGGGAATTCGTTACTCGAGCAAAATCTTGGTAAAAACGATCATCATCCCCCCTCATGAGGAGGATCTTCTCCCCCAAAAGATTTCGATCGTCTAACTATTGCTACGGAAAACCTTGTTGTTGTCTTCTTTCCCCCTAATACGTGTAATCCAGACAATGTGACGGTACGGGTATTTCTCAGGGCCACGTCATGGCCACAAGACTAAGTGATGTGGCTGCCGCTAACTACATAGTCCCGAATACCATACCGCCGAGACCATACCTGTTTCGCATACTCAATGGCCTCAATTCATGTCGAAGGTTCGGGAAGACATGTCGCGTGTCTCGGGTACGGGGACCATGAACACCCAGTTACCCGCTAGCCAAACTCAGATGCACGGCTGTTGGAATGAGGTCCCAAATCCGCGTTGACTTATCCCAATTCGGGAGGTGTAAGCCAACGGATCGGGCTTTTCCAAGGTTCCCGGCGCACCGATAAAGCAAAAATCTAAAAGCCACGTGTATGTGGCTGAGAAAAAGCATTAGTCGTTGCGTATGCCAGTGAATTGGGACTGCGGGATTGGGTAAGGTATAACGGTGGTGTATCGTGCGTCGTCAGAGCATACGCAGGCTAGCTTTGTTGCAGCATCTATTCTGGTACACGTGCATTAGATTTGAACGTGCAGGATCGGTGGCATTATGGACTTTTTATCCATAATTGAGAGGTAAATATCAGGACGACACGAATAGTCTATCACAGATACCAGATGTTGATTGGTTATGTGACTTTCTACGCAACATTTTGAGCGAATGAGACTCGTGTGCGGGATTCTCCAAGTGCCACCGCGGACACTGTACTTCATAAACCATTCGACACTGGAAGCTACAGATGATAGATAAGATATTGGATGAAGTGAGATCTTATACTCCTTCAGCGTATAAGAGCTAAAAAGGACTTACAACACATCAGGCGTCCATGACCACAGCTGAGATTCCTCTCTCTCATGCGGCAAACGCGGCGCAATCCCCCTACTCACCAGCTAATACCCGAATAGCCCCGTAGATCAAAGCTCACAAGTGGCGCGGAACCACTCAATCCCAAAATAATCTAATCCGCGAACAATCAACCGAACACAACACTGAAGGTGCCGTTCGTCCATGTACGCCAACCGTAAGCCTAAGTCTGTATTACGTATTGTCGTCAAAGCTTTAAGTTCTCAATTCGAGCCTGAGAATACGCTCCGGAGCCCAGAATTAAAGGAGTAATCTAAACGAATACTGTGTTGAGAGAAGCAGTCGTATCAGTCGGATCGGGTATTCCTCCCTTACGAAGATATAACAGTACAGAATACTACATGTAACTTTCAATTTGTATGTATCGCGGGTCCACGTAATTAATATGGTTGCCCCCACTAACTGCCAAGCCACTACCGTGGAAGTATCCACGACGCTTCTCCAGTAAAGTGTGGCTGGTATGTTTCCTCTCGGTTTCGTACCAGTACGGGAGTGGGGAGGACTTCTATGGTTGGGACGGGGTGTAGACGGCCGGATTTAGGTGTCGATAGTTGGTGTTTTATTTACTTGAAGCGGTTGCTTAGGTATGTGTACAAGTACAATTAGTCAATATGAGCGAACTGTTGTTCTTGTGTATGTTATATGCAGCGAAACCTCAGAATCAAATATTCGTATACATTTTGCAGCCGTCAGTCGGCTTGTTTTGATAAATTGCTCTACTCCATGTGCGCCTTGCATTGACCGTGATCCTTTGAAAAAGTCGGCGGTAAGGCTGTTCGTAGCCAAGGTCATAGGCGCCCCTTGCCTCTAGGCAACTGGGCAATGCATGACGAAGGAGCCTCGGGGAAGCGCCCGGGCGGGTCCCTTGGGTTTTATCCCTCGATTTGAAAGCTGGGGATGGTTTGATGTGCTTGTCGCACCAGCATAAGGAATGATGGTAAAAAATAGAAGAAATTGTATATACTGTTATATTACCGGAGTTCTCCAAGACGCCTCTCATTAAACCAATTATGAGAAACTGAAGATGAAGAACAAGGGATCGAGGTGATAGATCCAGTGGTCTGTTCCAACAAGGATAACAGAAAAAAGTAACAACGATCACCAGGTGTAGCAACATACTAGAGGCGCCTGCGCACGCTAGCAGCCAGCAAAAAAGTGTGATGTGGGGAATATAAAAAAAGGGAAAAGAGATGCGCAAGGTAAAAGGGCGAGCATTTTAGCGGGGAGAGAAACGCTTGAAAGCCAAAGTAGCAGCGAAGCCAGCGGCAAGCAGCGAACCACCAATAGTGACGGCCTGGAGGGCAGCGTTCATCATCTGGTGGCGGTTGCGGGTGCTGCAGCGTTTGTAGAAGTCGGCCATGTCGTTGCCACGGGGGAAGGGGGTGTCAGGGATCTCCTCGTCAAGGAACTCGCAGAGCGGGGCCCAGCCGTCGTTGATGTTATATTCGAGCAGACGCTCGGGGGGAACCAAGCTGCGGACCTCGGCGACGTGATCTTCGTAGACTTGCTTGCCCTTGCCGGGGAAGTCACCACGGAAGAATGTCTCGAAGAACTTGTTCAGCATGGGGTAGTACATGCCAGCGGCCCAGCTGAAGTTCGACACGAACTTGTGCTCTGGGTCTGAGACGCGCCAGAAGACAGTCTTCATGACGGAGCTGATGGTCTGTCAGTATTGTGTTCTCTAGACCAGAAATACAGACGTATAAAGAGGTGACTATGACTTACGCGTGCCATGGGTCGACATCACGGGTGGTCAGGATGACCTTTGCATTGGGGTAGGCCTCGATCAACTCCTTTGCAAAGGCACAGGCAGGCCAGTCACACACGGCCTGGCAGTCGCCCAAAAGCTGGTCCCATTCCTTGCGGCCGAACTCGCCGATTCCGTTGTACTTTGCGTTCAGGGCATCGTGCCACATCAAGCAATCTGGCGGGTTCTCAACACTTGCGCACATCATGTGGTAACACTTGCCATAGCCCAGACGCTCAAAGGCCTTGCGGAGAGCTATCAAATACTAGTTAGTTTATTTGTTTCTCGTTCCCGTCAGACCCGGTACATACACCAAGTCCAACGCAACGCAGCACATAATACTCACAAGCAGTTCCGGTACGACCAACGCCCAGAGCAAGGACCTTCATAGGCACTGTGCGGTGGCACTTTCGGCGGTCAATGTTTGTGTCATCGGTGAAGATGTCGGTCATAGGCTGGGGAGCCAGATTATCGGAGAGCATGAGAGACATGGTGAGATGTTTATAAGCTCAATTGTAATTCGATATAGTTGAGACTTTTATAGAGGAAAAAAGAGGTGTAGATGATATAAACGAAAGAAGTAATAGAGCTGGATAAAGAAAGGACAAGACTGATAGAAGAAGTCTAGAAGGAAGGGGGGTTTTTAAGAGATTGATATGGAGATAAGGGGAAGAGTGAATGAATAAATACCAAAATGCAAAAAATAAAAAGGATCAGCTAAAAAAAAACCCTTGGAAGTCCAGACTTGGTACTGAACTGATCTCCAAGGGAGATAACAATTGAAGAGTAGGGTTCCGGTCATAGAGTACCAATGACGAGGCCCGAGCCACTTTTCACAGAGAACTATATTGTATGTAAGTCGAGTGGCAATGTTTCCACTATTATTGTAGTCTTGGCTTTTCCTTCATTCCACAGGTGGATCCCAAAAACCGAAGCCCGCCGTACAGATACAAACAGTTGATGTTGTACACAGCTTTAAAAGCCATCGTAAATGTGTACGTACCTGTTGAAAAGTCATTGATTCCGTACTATTGCTCAATGTATTGAGGTGCGTAGAGACACGACGTCACAGGCTGACGCACAGGGATGTGGGGATTGTCAGGGGTGAACGTCTGTGGAGTCCACGGGTGTATGGTATAGTATGTATGGTACCTGTATGGTACAGTTCGTATGCAAAAAGTCGGGCAATTTCGGTAATGGAAATTACCGGACGTAACCATTCCATTCAATGTTGTCTGCCGCGCCAAGACTGATCCACGTACCCTTCGAAATTTGAAATATGCTTTGATCAGTCAAGTTTTCGGCAAGACTGATGATCCATGCAATGTCGGTCATTGGTGGGGCTTTAAATGGGAACGCGTACACCTTCAACTTGTGGAGAGTGCGTATTTCCGAATGTGAAGGCCCGTGCCGGTTTGAGTGCACCACATACATCGTAGGCTCATCGTAGGCTCATCGTAGGCTCATCGTATAGACTCATCGTCATAGACTCATCTACCATGTATGAGCCTGCAATGGATGCCGTGTCGCTGTACTCTGTATGTCATCTCATACCCAGCACGCAGTGAAAAATGGCTCGATTTGTGCCTGCCAAGCTTGGCCCACAATGTTCCAAGCAGATCATCTCGTTGTTCCGCCCAGGGGAATATCGTTCCGGGTACGGAGTACGAGAATCCGACGCGCCCGCTCCATCAGATTGATTGAATTTGGCTCGTTCGAGACTGCTGTTTCGAGTTCCACATGGCCTAGTCTAATTTCCTCTCAATACCGCGGAAGGTATGTAACAGTTTCAGCCAGTCAGTCACGATGGGGCCCTTCTCCTGGATCGTCCGCTCACGCTCCCTGTCATGGGGAAGACCATATGCCCGATGTATCGCGGACTTAAAGCCGTCATCACCCAGGTATCGATCAGGGGAAGCTGGCATTGGGCCTGTAGAAACGAAGTTTCGCATGATTTCATCGCCAGGGGTATGTGTAACGTGTGAGAGAATTTCCGCAGTTCTGCTGTCATGAATCAGTATTGTCACGGTCGAACTGATCGTCCCGTTGGCGCTGAGATATTTTCCGTTCGGGGAAGGTATACGGAGTACTCGGAGACCCGGGGTCGGACGATCAGGGATTTCTCACGAGTGCAACAAAACTGAGCAGATATCTGTGAGGCTGTGTAGGCAGTTCCAAGGTTAGTAAGATATCATACAACATAACTAACTAGGAAGTCTATGATGGATGGTATTGTTCCAGAGGATCCACGTGATATAGCCTGGAACGTGCATAGCCAGTTGAATGTGGTAAAAGTGAAGGAAAAGAAGAAGAAGACTGTACTCACCAAAGCAGACCCTTTTTCAGGGTCAACAGCGACAGAGCTCCTTAAATGTGCTGTGCCAAGACCCTTAGACCGACGCTCGCCATCGATGCCTATGATCACCTCACCAAGCCATGACCGATTGGGAGCTCCTCTATACGAAGGGAACAGGGCTGAACATTGCAATCAAAATCCGGGCTTAAAGCTCCTTGGTCCATTGAGCCAAGCTTGCGCATTCCGTCTCCGCCTGGCATCCACCGACGGCAGTGTTTTCGGCAATCAATGACAACACCGCTATATCCCGAACCATGAACTTGGGGGGCTTCCCTTGCGGTGTTGGCGGAAAGAGAATACGAGGGAAATGCTTGGCAGCAAACAGATTGGGCTACCCCTAGGTGGTGGCATGAACTGTACCGATGATTTGATATCTCCAAAATAATCCCCCCCTAATATGAACATGAACACTAATATTGTCTGAAAGCCACCGATACACCTGAAACTCCATGCAAATGACCGTTTTGATTTGATTTGTCCGTCGGGTCGGTAATCGGTAAGGGTCCCATATAGTTCCCGAATCTGAGTTTCGCGGTTCACTTCTACTCCAACTTGTCCAGGTGTTCCAATCGTGTGAGAACGACCTGTTTGCTTGTCTCTTGAATCTCGCCTGCGAGAAAGACTTCGTCTAGGATAGCGTAGACCTATAAATCCGGCACACGTGGTCAGTATCACAGCTTATGCAACTCCGATCCCACACCAGCTTCGGTTCATGCCGAGCGCTGCATTTATCCTAGCGACTTGCACGCACCTTGTAGAAATTGAAGACCAAATCCAGCTCGCACACATTGCCAAAGAATTGGTCCAGCACTTCGACAAAGAAATGGATAGCCTCGAGATAGGCTAACTCGTTGTCATTCGCATCGACGCAGACGCAAAAGAACAATCCAGCATATCTTCGGTAGACGACTTTGGTACTCCGGCGGAACTCGACAAAGTTGGACTGGTATTTCTGATCTCGGGGAGCGACGAGGCGATGGACCTAGACGGTTGTCGGTGATTAGTTGGATGAGAGCCTCGGAGCAAAAGCGGGTGTTGCATGGACGAACCTCGCCTTTCAGTTTGACTTTCTCTTCATCCTGTAAGCCGGTGTCAGCTCAAGGTTCCAATGTTATTGACAACTCGGGTTCTGGCAACACTCACACTGTACGGTGAATACCATTTTGCCAGGCGCGTTTTCCCCCTATACCATCATTAGCGTCGAAATCGAAAATGACCGGGGCGGACAGTCACTCACTGGCGATTCTGAACCAGGATAAATGAGAGGACCATTGCGATGGAAAGCCAGGATGTCACCTGGTCAGCATTTATGAAGCCACTCGGGGGGAGTGTTGCGACAAGCTTTGGACGGTCTCCGCTGCTCCCGTTGTCGAAGCTCCCCTCCCCATATTGCCCGAATTTACCGCCCAGATCGGATTCTATAAAAAATGCAGGTGAAATAGAAGCGCATATTGCAGGATTATAGCTAATTGTTCTACTAAATCCACAAGCAATTTGGTTCCCATGAGACATCCAACACATCAAATAAACTAGTATAACAATATTTTCAAACATAGAGTATCAACAGACATAAAGCGTAGAATTCGTTAAAAGCCCCCATTACAGCCCGGTCTAACACATGTAACAAGGCAACGAGTGACACTGCGTAGTGACGGAATCGATTGGCCTGATTTGCCATCTTCCATAGCACTCAGCCACAGCTCTCACCCCGAGCTCATCCGATTCCAAAACCTCGTCAGGCGAGTCTAGAAATACTCCATCAGCAACCATGCAGATATAAGTGAGACTGAGCAAGTCCGCAAAAAGAAAGAAAGAAAGAAAGAAACCACATACCGTATAGCTCTGGGGACTAGGAGGCTCTGTGTTTCTATCCCCCTTTTGGCTCTGAGCCTGACTCTGGCGCCGAGTCTGGCTCTCATCCTCAGAGTCATCTTCAGACTCGTAATCCTCCTCGTCCTCGGAGTCAGGATACCACCGTTCAGGATCGCCATTGTAAACAAGATACCAGCCGATTTTCTCGCCGGGGGCTAGGCGATCGCGCAACTCCTCCAGCGCCGCCGTCTGGTCGTCCGTCAACCCAGAGCCCTGTTCCACGCAATCCTCGATATTCGCTCCGCCACCACCACCACTCTCATCCTCTGGAATCTCCAGAACACGCGTTGAAACATACGCATGGTCTTGGCTGACGGTGCCACTGGTCTCGTCGGCGGGGTCATACTGCTCGATAAACGACAGCTCCGGCAGCCGGTTCACGAGGTCAGCTTGTGTTTTGTGGAAGGATTCTGCGATGAGTTCGGTCGTCAGCGGTTGCTGGATGTATTCCGCTGCTGCTTCTTCCAGGTTGTGGAGTACGATGTATACGCGGATCCCCGTGAACCCGGCGCGGGGCCACCGGAAGCCATGGAGCATATAGACCGGCATAATACTTGGGCCTTTTCTTTGGGGCTTTTTTGGGGTTCGGGAGGGTTGTCGCGCTGTCTAGCGACCGCTACCTGGGGAGTACGGTCGGATTTGCAGGGGATTCGGAGTTCATATTAAGTCTGTGTCATGGCTCGTGTGGCTTTTCGGGGCGGGTGTATCGATGCGATTGGGTTTTGCGGGTCCCGTGCGTAGCTCCAACGGGTTTCGATCTGTACTGCTTTAATTCAAATGTCGCTTTAATGCCTCAAATATTGAGTGGAATTCTATATTAGAGCAATATATAATTAGCCTGTTTCGTTAGATTTAGGTGATACATAAATGAAAACCCACATGTTTGGAGAAAGGTGTGCCTTGCTTCTATCACGTGGCTGATTATTAGTTCATTGGCTTTATAGATTGGTTACAGTATAGGCTGGGAGGATGGGTGCTCTCTATTATCTCTAAGTACTTCGTCGACCTAGATCTTCTTTCGGTTATAATCTGTCGAGAAAGGAAATCTGTGCTAATTCCAATGTAATATTATCTCGGATTCGTTTGCCTCCAACGTTGGAAATACAGACTCTCCATCTTCGGAGTTTCGCACTGAATATGACCTATCATATTCGGGGAACCACTTGGTCTAATTTAAAATCTCGTATTTCACGGATAGCCAGTCAATTGGAATTAACCCGAATCATTTAAAATGAGGAGATGTGATGCATTATGCGGGGCTGGAAACAAGACATTCGACCTAGCGAGGCCCTGTCCAAGGCACTAGAAGGAAACCAACATGAAAATGGCTAAAATCAAGACACTGAGTGCCGAGTTCTGGTGGATATTGAGATACTGAGCTTCTCATCATGGTCTCCTCTTCAAATCCGCAAATCTTCGCGTCAGTTCATCCAGCTCGGGTACCCCATTGGTATTACTCTTGCTCTTAGAGCCACCATCCTCTTTTGAGACAGCAGCAGCTTTCCCCTCTGTGCCGGGAAGCTTGACTCTGGGATTGGGATTGTCCGTTCTAGGAGCCGGCGGCGCAACGCTGACAGGACTTCGCCCCGCAGCGAGTCCACGTGGAGGCGTCGCTTTGGTCAATTCACTTGTCTCCGAGGCACGTCTCGCTTCAGAGAGATTCGGCGTTGAGGCCGAGTCTCCTTGCTGCTTGCTAGGGGTTTGCGGTAATTGGGGTTCCTCTGCGTCACCGTCACCATCACCACGATCATCAAGATTGTCCACAAATTCTGTAGGCGCACTTCCCAGCTCTTCTTCGGCTCCATGCCATTCAACGCCGTATGCTTTCGCAATCTCTCGCAGGTAACTCTCAACAAGTTCCTGTCCTGGCGGGCGCACACGCAAGCCCTTGAGAAGCCGATCAGGAACCTTGACAGAATCGACCTTATTATCTTGCGCCAAGGTCATGAACTCCTTGCCGTATCGCTCGCCCAGCATAGTGCGAAGCATAGTGAATTCGCGCACCTCATGCGGGAAACGATGCCATGCGTAGAAGACCACAGTAGCAGCCTCATCGAGTGCAGTATCCATGTAGGGGTTATCGCCATCCGCAAGCCCATCACTAGAGTCCTCCGCCGCACTCCCAGATGCTGTAATGGGCGCAGCCCGCTCAGCCTCCTTTTTTTGCGCTCCTGCTCCCAGCCAAGAGAACCCGAATCGCGAGCCAGTGCTTTCCCCAGCGCCTTTGACGCCTGTGGTGGCTGATACCGTAGCACCAGCTTGTTCTTGGCTGCGCTTCTTGAGTAATTCCTTCGCGCGAAGTCGGGCGCGGGTCCCCTGGTCGCTGAAGGCCATCTGATCCAATACGTTTGCGCGCGCCAGCAGCAGCTCACAGTAGAGCTCGACCATCTCCATTACCTCCACTGCGATATCGGTTGCAATGACATTTTCGACTCGGATGCGCGCTGATGCATCGCGGCCTTCGCTGAGGAGCTGGGAGAGTTCGCGGCGTTGGACGACTGAGGAGGCTGTGTCTTTCTTTTGTAGGAGGCGGAGACGGGGGATAAGCAGGCGGAGGGTGGAAACTAGTCTGGTCTTTGATTCTATTGCGTTAGTCATTTGGTTTCTGTATCAGACGGGCATGGGAGTTGCAGGGTAGGCAGGCGTTATATAGGCAGTGCGGGGTAGCCTTGGGAGCTTTAGGTAGCGAGATTTAGGGGAAGTGTCCCGATCATGGAATCCGTATGCGAACGAAGAAAGGAGAAAGGAAAAAGGAAGAGTAGACCGTGATAGCTTACCGTTTGAACCGAGGGAGGCATTTCGGCGTGATGAGTTGTTAGAAGAGAAGATGTGGGGGAGATGGAGGCCGATGGGGCCGAGAGATCTTGTCACCATTTCATCGGGTTGCCCTTTGTCTTCTGACATTCGAAACTTGAAGGATCCATAAAACTCAAACAATGGAATGATGACATGTTAATTAGGCATTTGGTGTGGTTTCAGTGTTTTCGGTGTTCGGGGAGTTCTGGGAGTTCTGAGTGATCTCATAGCTTTGATATCGGCGTCTTGTGTCTTGAGCTTCTCCTGCTCCAACGTATCGGCAATAGTGTGTTTGAATTCTTTGGCGTAGAGAAGCCATTTGTTGATGTCTTTTGTCTGTTTGTTGCAGCGGGCTGTGATCTCATCTAACAATAAATTGAACTCATTCGAGGTTGTAGTGTTGACGCTCACAACGGAGCACTCTGAATATCATCAGGATGAAAGAACTCGAAATTTAGACAATGACTTACCCTGGACACGATCTTCCTCCATATTGAGAGAGCTTCGCTAAAGTATGAGGTCAATGGGGAGATGAAATGGAGAGATGGGGAAAAAGATAGCTTTCTGGATTCGGAAGTTTCGACAGATATAGATGCTATGCTAAGTGCCCTCTATCTTAATTCTACCTAGTTACCTTGTGACCTTTATGGTAGTCTTTTGCTAAGAGATCCCATGCTTCCTTGCTTTCTGCGTTCTATGATTCTTATGGCTCTAATATGGTATTAGAGACATTATACAGACATATGGCTTTCATGATTTTCTGTAGCTTTGCCACTCTCTATACTTGCGGGGATTTCCGTTTTAGGAAGTTGACGGGAGTGGGTCTCAACGGTGATAGGAGGGGGTCAACCTTGGGAGAGTATCAGATATATAAAGACCGTCCGATCTCAATTTTCTCTTCTCATTCACAAGGATCTTAATACAAGCAAAATGGCCTCTAACAATGCCCACGCTTCCACCAAAGCATTGCATGCAGACGATGCCCTAAATCTAGTGACCGACGTCGCACCCCCAATACATCTCTCTACAACCTTCAGATACCCCAATGATCCAGACCAACTCGTCCTATCTGAGGATCCGGTGGTACGTCTCAAGCCAAAACACAGCCATATTCCCAACTAACAGGCCCGTCCAGGATGAATTCAACGGCAAGAACTATGTGTATTCCCGCGAGTTCGCGCCAAACGCAACTCGCTTCGAATCAGTGCTCTCATCCCTAATAGGCGGTCAGGCAGTGAGCTACTCAACAGGACTAGCCGCGCTGCATGCCGCTCTGACACTGCTCAACCCGCGCCGCATCTCCGTCGGCGAGGGATACCACGGCAGCCACGAAGTTATCTCGGTAGTATCGCGTCTGTCCGGGCTACAGAAACTCGCCCTCGACTGTCCCGCCGAAAGCCTAGGTGCCGGAGATGTCATTCTACTAGAGACACCCGTCAACCCGCTGGGGACGGCGTTCAGCATCGAGGAGCACGCGCGCAAAGCCCACTCCTGCGGCGCATTCCTCATCGTCGATAGTACGTTTGCGCCGCCTGGCTTGCAGGATCCGTTCTTGTGGGGCGCGGATATCGTCATGCATTCCGGATCGAAGTATTTCGGTGGACATAGCGATATGCTCTGTGGCGTGCTTGCTACGAAGCGTGCCGATTGGACGAAGCAGTTGTTTGAGGATAGAATCGCCCTTGGCAGTGTGATGGGGAATATGGAGAGCTGGCTCGGGATCCGGAGTCTGCGCACACTGGAGGTCCGGGTTCAGCGGGCTAGCCAGAATTCAGCTAGGTTGATTTCCTGGCTTCATGCTGCTATGCAAGCCTCGTCTCCTGCTGTGGGCAGTGAGGAGATGGTTGTTCAGTCAGTTTTAAAGAAGATTTACCATGCTAGCTTGCAGGACGAGCCGTGGTTGCAGAAGCAGATGCCTAATGGGTTTGGACCTGTCTTCTCTATCGTCTTGGACAATGAGGACTTTGCCAAGGTTTTGCCGACTAAGCTTCACTTCTTCCAGCATGCTACTAGTCTAGGCGGGGTTGAGTCTTTGATCGAGTGGCGGGCTTTGTCGGATCCCAGGGTTGACCGAAAGCTGTTGAGAGTTAGCGTTGGGCTGGAGAACTGGGGGGATCTGAAGGACGACTTGCTCCAGGCATTCAAGTCGCTCTTGGGATGACAACTAAGTTAGTCTTATGTTTTTGTGATAGATCACATGAGATATTTTGGTTATATTCAATGTCTAGTATGTTATATGAGAAGGCAGTCACGACCCAATCGACCAATATCAAATACCCACCGCGACGAAGTCCCCAAGCCTTCTTGCTGGTCCCAATAATCTTTCAGAATCTTCGCTGCATTGATAACATTCAAACATCTCGTAGCAGTCCAAAACTTCTCTAAAGATCCAACCAAAAAGTCTCTCTGGGCCCGAGACCGACACTCCAAGCCCGCCACGAAGATAGCCCACAGAACACATTTGAAAAGCGCCTCGTCGTCTTTCAAACTATCAATCAGACCCAACAGCTCAGAGACCAAATCATCCTGCATGGTGATGGTTTCCGTGAGTGCATCAAGAATGCGTCTCCCATATAGCAAAGCCCCAGCTTTGAATGCCTGCGATAATGTGCAGAGATTATTGATTTCATCTGGGGAAGAATGTCCTGAACTTTGGACACTCGAAGCCCAGGCGTAACTGTCAAAGTTTTTGATGAGTTCCATCATCGCGATGGTATCTTGTATATGTGTTTGGAGAGCGGCACCGTCCGGCA